GACCCTGGGCCAGCACCAGCCCCACAATATATATATATATATATATATATATATACCAGTTGAAGAAAGAAGGTCCAGGCATTCCAGTGCTCTATAGGCACATTTATTGGAATAGGGTGAACACCACAACATTTTGACTCACAAATGGGTCCTTGTCAAGCTATCTGATAAATCACTAAGAGACAATGTTCGTAGAATAAGACTAGATAAATCAGAATAAGAGTCTCCTAGTTGATGGAAAATGTTCTGTTTGTAGTTGTCGTCAGCTGTGGTCCATCAGGATCTGTGATTGTGATTTTTTTTTTTAATTTGATTGTATTTACACTTATATTTAAATTGTTTTATTGCATCTTTTTAAATACTTTATCACAATGCATTATTAAAATATAGGGTTACATTTTTGACATTTCTTTCCCATGAAACATATATATTGTTTCAACAGGCCCTGACACTGAATAATTAGGATAGCATGTACGAAGTAAAAAAAAACCTCCATCATCTAAATTACACATCAACTTCACTGCAAAACTCTTAGTTTTACAACAATTTGTCTAAAAGTTAACATAAGTAAACACATTCATACATTTTGTAAGTAGTGTATTTTATAGGAAAGGACAACACAATACCGAATGTAAACTAGCCTTTAAATAAAAGTACAAATGTACAGTGTGTACTTACTAGTGAATTGTTCAAAGTCAATGGAAGATATATATCACATGAAAGATGCATCAATCTATATCGTAAGTTTGCAAATACTGACTGCTATGCATTTTTTCAAATGCTGTTAGGAGATTTTTTCCATCATTAGCTTAATTGTATCAAGAAATGTAAACTCACAGTGGACTAAATTTGTTTATATTTTTTTAAATTTAATTTTTTGAATGTCCTTTTGAATTCCTTTTGCAGCCTCAAACTAGATACTTATCTGAAGACACTCAAGAATGGACGTTGCTCTTGGTGTAATCCTCCTTAAAATATTTACAACGAAAAAAAAGGGAAAAAAAGTAAGAAAAGAGAGGGGAAAAAAAGAAAAAATAATATTCAGACTCCTTATCAAGATTTCTAAATTAAAAACAGATGTTGGACCATCATTATCACGGAGGTGAAATGTTTCATTCCAAAAATGTAATAAATCCTAATAAACAAAATTAATGTGGGTTCTGCCCCCACCTACACAAGGATACCTTAGATAAATTGACTGATAGATAAATTCACTGTTTTAAATATCACTATATATCTGCGAGGGCAAGGGGGAAGGGGCATAGTAATAGTTGGTTGAATCTTTGTACAATTTAGCTAAATATATTGAACTTTACAGCTTTTTTTTTTTTTTAAATATATGCTTTGGATATGCAGTATTCCAGTCTAGACTGTCTGTATGTTACAATGTTGATGCATAGTTTGGATTTGTTTAATAACTGTTAAATTGAAGAGGAAATAATTATTTTTGAAACTTGGAGACTATGTCAATTATTTAGTCTCTTTTAAAATAAAAATCTGTTTTATTAAATTGCGTTATTGTTTCATGTTCTATTCTTAATTACATCTCCAACTTGTCCTGCATCAGTTTTTAATTCTCAGGAAATACTGATGTAAAATGCTTGCAGAGCCTCTTATGGCTGCCATCATGAATTTAAATAGACGTGATGTGGAATTTAGCCAGAGTTGCTGTAGCATTGTTAGATCATTTGGGTAGAATCCTTTAACTATGCTTAATCAATACAATATGGTGAAACCTTTGAATTTATTGTTATTTTCTTTTGGAAACATATCATTTATTTTGACGTGGCTCTTGCAAAAAAGAAAGTAATTAACAATAAACAATACAATGTTAGAGTTAAAATCTTTAGCCTGAAAGATGAATGGATGGACAGATAGATGGACGGACGGACTGGAAGACAGATGGATGAATAGACATTTCATATTGCATAGTATACCTAAAATCTTACGGATGAATGGTCAATAGTGTCATGTTCTTAAATGGAATGACTGACTCAGTGTATGCTCTCGGTGCTAAATAAGGCTTCAAAAGTCTACTGAGGAAGACTTTATTTATTGGCAATATATCTTTAGGAACCGGATTGTGATGACATCAAATTGTAACATTTGGTGTTTAAAGGGTTAAAAGTACAAGCTAAAATGCAGTGTTTCTTTCTGCTTGGCATCCTAAAGAGTTGCTTGATCCTACCCAAATAGACACAAGTCTGACTGTGTAGCCTCCCTTTGAAGAGATGGTGGGAATATTCGACTCGGCTCATCTTCCTAATTGCTTTTCAGTTTGTCTTTTTCATATGTGTATTTATAGATTCCCTTCTTTACTCATTATAAATTTTATTTGCAGCAATACTCAAAGCTGAGTACAATTAGTAAGTAGATCAAAATGCTCATGTAAATGGTGATAATTGTAAAAGAGATTTGTAATGCTGGACTGGAAATTTGTACCAATGGTACTTTCTTACTAAGTGGCTAGGAGGGTGCTGTGGGATAACTTAAAGAAGGCAATACTTATTGATTTGTTTTTAGTCTAAACTACAATTCATCTAAATCTGGGTCATTTATTATTACTACTATTTTTTTAAAGTATGACACTATGTGTATAGCATAGCCCATCCCCTAATGTCACAGCACGGCAATAGCCACACATAGACATACAAACTAACCCTGGACCAAGTAGTGCACCACACTCTTCCTACCCCACCACAACTCCCTTGGTTAGGAGTACCCTCACTCAAGGCATAGAGTACAACCACCAGCTTGCGTAGTAACACTAAGGAGAAACTACACCCAATCACCCTCAGCACTTCTGATAATGCACAACTGTGTCCTCTCACCTCTATGCATTCATAGCACCCTCACTTTAAATCTATCTAAATACACGTGTGCCGCAACCACTGACATGCTATCTCCTATTTATTCCTCCTGCCCCACTGACAACAGGGGACAACGGCACTAGGATACGATTGCTTTCCCCTAGGCCCACGTTCACAACACGTAGGACCTAGGCCCACGTTTACAACATGTATAAAATTAAACTGGTGCAGTTACTCAATGTTTTCCACCCATACTATGTTATGTATTGGAACCTCTGTACCGCAAAGTACTGATCAATGTATGGTTTATGCAATGCACTGCAAAAATAAAGAATTATTTTACAAAAATGTATTACTGACTTACCTAACAGGTCTGCCCCTAGGAGATGGGTGTATAGTAGATGGGCAACGCTACAGGGAGACACTCCGGTCTCAGAGTGCACAATGTCATCTAGGACGTTGATTGTATGACCTTATCAATTAATGAACCTATTGTTGCCATGTATAGGAGACAGGGTTACTGTTCTGCAACATAGCATGTGTGGCAACTGTATGTGGAAAGTTCAGTTACAGAGACCACTGTTATGCTATCTATGCTCTATATGGAGAGGCCTGCGAGTTTACTCTTGTATTCCTTGTATACGTTCTTTACTGAAAAATAAAAACAGATTTGCAAAAAAAAAAAGTTTTGATGATTTTATTTACCGGTCAAGTGAGACATGAGTAATAGAGCAAAACAGGAGGGGAAGAGTAAACAATGTTCATATATTATATATTAATAATAATATTAATAAATTAATCATTAATACAGTTTTTTACTGTTGTTTGTCCCTCTATTGTTTACTTTTTCTCACTTTATATTTATACTATGTGTATATTTTGCAGTACACGGTTTGGCCTGTTTTCAAGTCCTTTTGGTTTGCCTGATTCGTTTTCTGAATTGGATTTTCAGTACCGAAATTTGGGGGAAACATGTTTTAGCTGAACCAAATTTTCTCACTGTGCACATGTATAATGAAATAGAATTTCAACCCTAACATCTGTCTTTGTTTTGTAAAAGTATACTCAACATGTGGATTGATGTTTCCTATGCCATCCTCTTCATTTAGACGAACTCTCTTCATTTAGATGAACTTTGACTAATTTACGTGTATGAACCTAGGGTGCTTTTTAAATATTTCTTTAGGTGGGGACTAATTGCCATACTTTTCTGGACCAATTGTCTATCACACATCTAATGTCTATCACACATCTAATGTTTTTAATATTTTAGTGACAGATTGTAAAATAATTTAAGGATTACAATAGCACTCCTAAATTGTAGACATGTGACTTTTAGCATACGTTTACAAAGCACACAAATCACCATGTAAAAGGTACTTTTGACCAAAACAATACCTAGAATTTGACTATATGTTTGTTCAACCATAATTTATCTCTTTCACATGAAGTGCACCCACACTTATTATATATCATTTTGTTAAGGACAAATGGGGCTTTCATGTGGACATCAAATATTTTTGTATGAACCATAATTTAGTATGGATAAAATCTAAGTCATTTTAATAAATTAAGGGAAAAAAAATTTCCAACTTGAGCACGGCATTTTGTTTTTGTGAATATCACACAACTGCACTCAAACAAATATTTGTATACACTGTGATGTCCCAACAATGACCTCCATGTACAGTTTTTGGGGGGGCTTTCGAATATTGTAGGCCCAAATATGTGCTTCAGTTTTCATGCATGTAATTTTGGACAAATTTCCTGTGCCTGTGTCACCTCTGAGACAGTGTGGCAGCCTAGGACACACAATATCCGCCATTATGACACACCATCTTCAAAAGGAGACACCCCAGGACATACTGAATGGCATGTTTTGAGTTGTTTAGTGTTGCCACTTTATCACAAATGTTGGCCACATTTAGTGGTCGTATTATAATTGTGTTATTGCAATAAAGCCCTCATACTATTATTTAGCAATGTTTCATGAATATAACAGTTCCACAATAGTTTTCCAGGTTTTTTTGGGGGGGACGGGCGGAGCTACAGGACCAAATTTATTATAGGCTAATTTATCACTTTGACAGTCTGATTTTCTAGGCCTCTGTTGCCTTTGAAACACTATGCCACTCCAGAAAAGAGAACTATCCCAATGGTGCCATACCATTTTCAAAATTACCCAACACCGCATATTCCAATTTCGGTATTTTGAGTTGTTTTATGTAGTCATTTTATAATGACCTTAGAGTAGTTGGACTTAATGTAAGCAGGGTCCGGTCAAGGTCAGAGGATTCAGAAGTCAGAGTAGTCGGTTTAACAAGCCAATAAGTTGGTACAGGCAGCTGACAAAAAGTAATCAGAACAAGCCAAGGTCAGGAATCCAGAATAACCACACATAAGTCACATACAGCGAGCGTCTTTTGGATTAATAGTTTAACTCTGTATGGGACACTTTGAAACAGACTGTAACACATAGGTCATGAGAGATAGTCAGTAATGGCCATGGTATGTAGACTCCTTTCTAACTCCTTTTTGTAACAGACTCTACACTTTTTACTGGTGGGACTTTTTGTAGACTGTGGGGAAAGTGTCTGCCACAAAGTCTCAGGACATCTTCTGATTCAAAGATAGCAGGATTGGGGAAAATGTGTAAATAAAATGTCTGATGGAAGCTTTAGTGTGAATTCCAGGAAAGTGTATGGCTTCCTTGCCTGCTTTTTTGTGCAGCACATATGAATTATAGACTGCCATCTGCAATGACAATTTTTTTTTGTACCAGATTTTGGTCTTGTGGTGAACTCGATATGGCTGTATGCACTGATCAGCCAAATCTAGTACAGCATATATTTGCACTGGCACTGTACTTTCACATGCAGTGAGAATAGCATGTACAGTGTACCATAGGACCAGGACTTCGCAAAGCTGTCGTGCTTTTACACTTTTTGCCATATATCGGCTTCTAGGGGAAACCTTCGCATGTTTTGCCACAGGCTAGGCTGTTAAATTAAAATAAGTTTTTAAATAAATCTATAGTGATGTCATAGTTTTCAACCCATAAGAAATAGCCTTTGTTCATCAAGAGTAGGAGGAGATCCCACACATTTTTGCCATTTGTGTACACAGAATCAGAGCAGCCTGGTGGTTCAAGATGACAATCTCTCCCTTCATAAATGAGATTTGTATAGGTATAACCTATAGTGAATTTGCACAATTTATAACATTTTATTCTGAGCTTGCTTAGATGGAATATAATGCTTTAAAAGTCACCTTCCCTTAATTTTCATGAGGGATTCATCCATACAGGTGTTCTGGTCTGGGGTGTAATTTTCAGAATACTTTTTTATCAGGGCCTGGGGTTGTATCTTGTATAGCCTGTCATGTATTGAGTCATTTCAGGGGAGTGCCCCCCCTAGAGATGACTTCTTGTATTACAAGCTATACAAGATTGTTGTTAAAATGGATTCTCTCTTGGGGTTTTGATATCAGAAGCTGTGAGAGTGTCAGCTATGTAAAACATGTCATTTCTGATTTAAACGTGAGAATGGCGTAACCCTCTTCCACAGAATAAAAACGTGCCAAAGGAAAACATATGTATTTATTTTTTCTCCTAACACCAACTCACTCTACTCAACTGCAAAATCCCACTGATTACAGATGTGCTGCAGTAATTAGAAAGCAGGAAATGGTTTTAAATATTGAAAACGGTTAGAACAGATAAAAAGTGTAATTTTGTAACAGAAAAAGTAAAAAAAAAATCTGACTTTCAAAAACTCTGCATTAACACAGTATTCTACAGTAAAAGGGTTAAAATCAGTGGGGGGGGGGGGTTTGTTTGTTTTTTTCTTTACACAATAAAACTGTTAGAGTTGTGAAGACTATAAGTCACAACAGAAGCCAAAGGTGAGATCTTTTAGAAATGTGGCCTAAAATGTTACTGTATATATAAACTCTAAAATGTAATGAATCGTTTAATTCTGGGGTTGAATAATAAAAGTGGAGTTATAACGGTAGGAGCTAATGAAATTAATAGTGATTGGTATACTTTTAAAACTTTCCTCAGACATTCACTCCATACATAAATTCTACTTTAATAATATTCACAAGTACAATAGATTTCAGGAAAAAAAATCTTGAATGTTTGTTACATACAATAATCCAAATTCAAATTTGTGTCTCTCTTTACTTTAGATCTTTTACTTTGTGGATCTGTAGAAGTGCCTTAACATGCGGGAATCATTTTTACAATTCAGGTACTAAATCTAAGAAATCAACAATTACAAAAATCTCCTGTATACCATTTTGTAAAAGACAAAAATGCAAACTAAGGTATTTTTCTAAATTAATTGTTGATCTACTTAATTGAATGGATTATTTTTTTTAATGTTTAAGCCAGTTCCTAAATATAACCTGCAATATATTTTCACATAATATGTATTTTGTAAACATTGTGGCACTTTTTGTTTTCTTTAAAAATAAACTGATGCAAGATGAATTTGTAGCCTTAGGGATTTATGTATCAGATTAGTATGTTATACAAACCCAGAGCTTGAACAGAGCTAATGCTTTCCTCCATTTAATGTGCACACAGATCAATCAGTGGTGTAACACGTGGCACGCATCTATGAAAAGACTCTGGACCCTAATGGAGGCCTTCCTAGGCACCCCATCTGCTTTCATCTCAATTCTTGATGTTTTGTAGTGAGGAACTAACATATCTGCTGATCACTTTGAATTTGGTGTGTCTTGGATTTGCATATGGGACAAAGTGTGCCGTACTCCCACATCTGATGCTCGCCTCCAAGACTTCTCCAGGGCTGCACCTTTTCTGTGGAACTCCCTTTTCTTCTCCATTAGACTTTCACCCAGTCTCTACTCCAAAAAATCTTTGAAAACACACTTCTTCAGGAAAGCATATCATTTAAACTGTTAGCGGATTTTCATTCCCCCCCCCCCAACCTATGTCATTACCCTTACTTATACCTTTTGTGTCACTATACTCCACTCCCTCTAGCATGTGAGCTCATTGAGCAGGTCCTTCAACCCCTATGTTCCTGTGCATCCATTTGTCTGGCTACAGTTACGTGTCTGTTAGTCCACCCATTGTACAGTGCTATGGAATTTGCAGGCACTATATAAATAATAAAATAATAATAATTATCTTTTACATTAATTGGCAACCTTCCTCACTGCAGATGTTTTGGACTACATCTCCCATAATGCCCTTACAGCTAATGCTGGCTATAGTTATCAGTGGTTTGACAGTAGTGGTGCCGATTTACAGTTTGGGCAGAGCTTATTTTATTGGCCGACAGCTATCACCTGACACTTTCAGCCAATGAAGCTCCAAGCAGGAGCTTTCAGCTCTCACTTCTGATTGAAGAAATGCAGGAAGCAATGTCCAGTGGACACCAGGTGAGAAGTCAAAATGTCAGAAAAACTGTTTGACTTCTTACAATTTTTGCACAATAAGCACTACGGCCCACTGTAGTGGTTATGGTGCTTGGAGTCTTCCTGTCATAGGAGAGCTCACTGGGCAGGTTTTCACATTAGGTGAAAAATACAGATCCCTGAAGAAGTCCTACAGGATGAAATGCATAGGAGTTTGGAGACTAATTTTATACAGATTTTTTTGTTTACTTTGGATTTTAATTATTTGCATTTATTAGACAAGAGTGGTGAAGATTGGATTTTCCTCTCATTCTTTTACAGTACTATTATGTGGATATATGCAGTTTTGCCACCTTCTGCCATGTAAATGCAATACTGTATTAATACATTTGAGAAGTATATACCATCTGCAATATGTGCTTGTTTTTTCATCCTTGTATGTGACGATGAGAAGAACATCAGAAAGTACCTCCATATTCTCTAGCTTTTACCCTCTTGGAAGGGAGACAAGCCTGAATGTCTACTCATTGTGTGAGTTTTCTACCACCCCTACTATTTGCACTAGTTTATACTATATTGCAATATATATATTTTTATTTTTTAGATATGAGTGTTACTTTCACGCATCAAATAATTATTATACATTCGGCTTGTATTAATTCATTTACATTTTCCCTCTTTGGTGTTTCCTTTTACGTACTTACCTCCATTCTTTAGGTTTTGGCTTTGTATCTAGAGTGTTTATGAGGGGACAACTTTTAGGGGTGTTTTTTTAATTAATTAATTTTTTAAAATCTTTATTTTTCATGGTGGTATCATATAAAGTCGACATGCAATGTCACATACACCACACCTTTCTGTTTAGTAGGTAACCGTATAAATCAGACATATTGTAGATATGAGGGAAAAACAAACAAACAAAAAAATATAAATAAAAAAAATAAAAATACCAGAAAAGTAAACTAATAAGGGAGATGTAGGGCGAACTAGAGTGTATAACTTCCTCACTTGCTCCTGGTTCCTCCAGTCCCCCTCCTCCTCACCTTGTCATACTACATGTGAACTCCCTCTCTGAACTGGATACAGCCCATTTTTGCTAAAAGGGTAAATTGAGACCTCTGCATACAGAATTGGGGAACAGCCTGCGTATGATGTGGGGATTTCGGTATTACCCCATTGGCCATCCGGATCTCCCACTCCCGACCCAGCCATCCCACTTTTGGGCATCCCCTCGAGCACGGATTCCCCCTGGGTTTGGAGACTTATCATGTGGAATTAGGCCATCTTTGTAATGGGCTCTCTAGGTTCCCACGTTCCCGCTTCTCCCCGGCTTCATACATGCCCCCGCCCCTCCACATTTAGGGGTTTTTTTTGTATGTATTTTATATTTGAGCGTATTTGTTCACGAATATAAAAAAAATATGTTTTTATCAGATTTAACAAAAATTATAATAAAACAAAATAAATGTTTTATGCTCAAATACGGAATTGAACTCAGATGCAAGGGTAAAAAAACAAATGTTAGGCTGTTAAGGGAAGCCATCTAGTTAAAATGCCAGTTCCAATAACAGCACTGTTAGTCTGCTCAAACTGTGTTCCTTAATTCCAGCACTGTGTGTCTGCTGCCACCGTGTCTCCCAATTAGAATACTGTATGTGTGTCCCCCAAACACAGAATTTCAGGTCCATTTCATGTCATTTTGTACTTGTCCTCCATCTTCAAGTCTTCTTTTTTAAATTGGATGGTTCTGTGCTTGGAATTAAAATAATTTCCTATTTTTGAGTAATTTATTCTATCACAGCAGGAATAGAGTGTCTCAAAAGAGTAAGTAGTTTACTGCAAACTGATGAATACATAATTTGCAATATGTTTAATAATGCTTCCATGTCAGATATGCTTTGCAACGTGCTCGCCATTTCTCTGGCATTTGATGGGTAAATAAATTAAATACAGATTTTTTACAGTCAGTTTGATATTTCCATTGTCCATTGAGTTGGGGAGGTGGGGTTTCCAGACAGAGAAGTTGGGGTCAAATTCCTTGGGTGAGTCTGGTGATAAACATGATCAGCCATCACTGCCACAGTGTCTTTAACCTTTGCTAGAAAGTAGTCCTGGGTTATTACACCAAAGCAAAGTCTACCAGACGTGAGGGAATGCTTAACTAAAGGTTTGCAGAATTTGAGAAGATATAGAAGATTTGTAAAAAGATACATTTTTGCTAAGATGTAAACTATTCCCAGCGTGACTATTTTAACTTTAATTTATGTCTGTTGTGAGGTGCACTGTCATTCAACGTTTGGCAAATAAACAATTGTGTATTCATATATAATGCCTTATTATGGCCTCTGTGCTTTTGGTTAAAAATGCTCCATAATTATTACCTCACCATTTCTGAGATCACTTTCATTTTCCACTCTTTTATCTGCAAATATATCTCAGCTTCACCAAGAAGCCCAAATAATGAATGCTTGTGATAGAATTTTTGGATAATAACAGATACGTTGTAACATTCAACTTCACACAATCTATACATTATGAAAATGGTAACAATTTTGCAGAGCTGTATGTGCAATTCTTTGGAAACACATGGAGGCTCTTAAGTTAAATTCAGCAATTATGTCAGCCGTGGAATCAATAGCATACTATATATTGTATAGTACTATAACTCTATGTTTAGATAAGTACAACCCTCTTACTTGGATCACCACCGGGCGCTGACTGTCCTACAGTGACTAGTGACGAAAACCGTATTCTGCAAAGCTGCAGAAACTAGATGTCCGTCCCACCGGGCAATGATTGGTTGAAAGTGTAAATAACCACTCTCAGACAATGAATGTACTCCCGTGCTTAGGAATATGTACAGAATTAGCATTAGCCAGCCAAATCTCTTGTTCCAGGTTGGCTAAAGACCCTCCAATGATGCAGCCAGAGGTGGAGTGAAACGCTGAACATAGAGACCCCAGGCACCATGACCACTTCAAATCACTTGTGTTGGCAAGGTGCGCACAGTAACCATTTAATAACTGAGAAAAAAAATAAGAATTAGTAAGGCATCTTCGAAGAAATGTATCTGGTATTTAGTCGAAGAATATATATATATATATTTTCTTATATGTGTGTGTGCGCGTTTTAATTTTGTATTTGTTGATTTTTTTCCTACGTATATCATATATTTACATAATACTTATTTTATTTAGGAGATCATATATAGAACTCTTATCCAGAGCTCCCTACAAACATCAGCAATGACTCACTGAATGGGGTATAGACAGAGGCATAATTAGGTACACATGCTAGAATAAAAGGAGTCAAGCACACTTTAATTTAAAACAAGGCCACATTTTGGTGGGGCAAGTGGAGTTCATGTAGAGAGTTATGATTGAGTGTCCTTCACAAAGACATACTGGATACCTTGCATTGAGTTGTTAATTGTGTGTTAATCACAGCCAACACAGTCATTGGTTCTCTAAAGTCATAAACACATATACAACGTGTGCATTCGGCGTCAAATGAATCGATATCCATTAAAAGTGTCCTAAATCTGAATAACCATAATACCAAATCATGGAACAAATTAAACAAGGAATGAACAAGCTGTTTTGCTTGTTTAATGATTCAGATTTCCATTGTTGGCACACAAAAAAAGGTCACTTATGGAAAAAAGATGATCAGTGGTTAGGACAGCCAGTAAAGGACCACTATAGTGCCAGGAAAACAAACTCGTTTTCCTGGCACTATAGAATTAATAGGTACCTCCCACCCTCATGGACCCCCTCCCGCCGGGCTGAATGGATAGGAAGGGGTTAAATCACTTACCTTTCTCCAGCGCCGGGCATTCAGTCAATGGTCAGCCAGTCCATAGGAAAGCATTCTCAATGCTTTCCTATAGACAATGGCGTCTTCTCACTGTGAAAATCACAGTGAGAAGCGCCTTTAGCTAAAGCGCTTCTCACTGTGATTTTCACAGTGAGAAGACGCCAGCGCCTATAGGAAAGCATTGAGAATGCTTTCCTATGGACTGGCTGACCATTGACTGAATGCCCGGCGCTGGAGAAAGGTAAGTGATTTAACCCCTTCCTCTCCCTTCAGCCCGGCGGGAGGGGGTCCATGAGGGTGGGAGGTACCTATTAATTCTATAGTGCCAGGAAAACGAGTTTGTTTTCCTGGCACTATAGTGGTCCTTTACTGGCTGTCCTAACCACTGATCATCTTTTTTCCATAAGTGACTTTTTTTGTCAATGAGACAGCCACTAGAGGCTGGATTAACCCATATTTAAACATAGTTTCTCTGAAACTGCTTTGTTTACAGCAGGCAGGGTTAATCCTAGATGGACCTGGCACCCAGACCACTTCATTAAGCTGAAGTGGTCTGGGTGCCTATAGTGGTCCTTTAATGTTGACTTTGTTCACAGATCAAGTGAGAATCGACCAACAGAGGAGAAAAAATAGCAACAGTAAATAAATGTATATTTATAGATTATATATTTAGTAAATATAGAATATTTCAATAAAGGAATGTTTTTACTGCTCCTGTTTTTCCCCCCTCTATATCTTTCTTATTCTCACTCGATCTATGAACGAAATGGCACAAAAACGCACACAGTGTACTGATACATAATTTATATTCTGTATATACAGGGTGGCACAAATTCAGAATGTGGTTGGAGGAGTCAATAACTTTTTTATTAATGAACCAAGTTCAATGATATTACATACAATGAATGCTTAACGTATGGAGAGTTGTTTGACTAGGTACAGAAGAGGACATCTTTTTAATTTGCTCTTCGATTGCATTTTTCCTAACATTAGTTGATGTTTGAGGCTCTAGCGCTTAAATTTCTGCCTCGATAATTTCCCTGAGTTTCTCAAGTGTACGCAGTTTGTTCATGTACACACACACCTACAGATATCCCCACATGAAGCAATTGTGAGCTGAAAGATCGGGGAATGTTAATCTGTCAATAATCTGGGAGTTTCTTTCAATTAACCACTTCCTGAACAGTTGTCTCAATTTTGAAAAAAAAATTCCATTATTTTTGATCATTGTTCCTTCATGAAATTACCCATGATGAATCTCCCAAGACCCCGTTATAATATGTACCTGCAACAAAAATTTTACGTGTCAAATGCCATGAAATACCATGAAATTTGACCCAACCCTGTATTTTGCAGTAAACTAATAGGTGCATGTTTGTGACATATTGGTTTTATTTAAATCGGTTTTCCCAAAACAATCACATGGACAAAATGAATCCAAAACAAAATCCCACATGGAGGAGACCCAAATTGCCTATAAGAAATTGTTTTTTTGGACGAATCGATTCAGACAAGGCAAATTATTTCAAATCTACTACATATGTTAGTAGAAGTGTTAGTGGAAGTTGGTGCAAGGGATTTGATGTGATATACCGGCCCTTGTAACCTGTGCTATTAACAAAAGAGGAACAAGAATTGTACAGCGCTACGGAATTTGCTGGTGCTATATAAATAATAAAAGAAGAAGAAAGGCTATGCTGGTCAGTGCACAACTCTCCTGCTCCCCCTACAATGGACACCTGGGACAGCAGTTTGAAGCCTCTCCTATCCCTCCCTCAGGCAGAAAGTAAGCAGAAAGAGAAGGAGATAGATTATAATTGTGTGATAATGTATTTTTTTGGCAGTGTGACTGTCAGTGAATGTATTTTATTGTAGGTCTATTGATGTGTGTTAATTTCTGTATGTGTCTAAGGATGCGTGTTAGTTTGTGTCTGTGTCTGATTGTTAGTTTCTGTGTGTACATACAAATAATGTCTATGTATGCAGTTTAACGGATGTTTATGTACGCATGTTAGATAATGTTTGTGTATACATCCTTGTGTGTCTGAAGAGAATGTCTTGCATTAGGTAGGGGTAGGTTATGTATGCACATATGTGCATTTGAGTAATTACATGTATGTGGATAGACAACTCAATATGTATAATAAAAATGAAAATCAAGTGCACTCCCTTATCTTCTAAACAGCAACTTTGGTACTGACAGATTTTGTTAGGTTTTTTTTTTTTTTTTTAAAAACACCTAATCTGGGCAAAAGATAATGGGGCTTTAGTTAAATTATATGATCATACCTTGCATAAGCCTAATGTCTTATGCAATGTATGATCATACAATGTAACTAAACCCCCATTATTTTTTTGCCTAGATTAGGCTAACAAAATCTGTCAGCACCAAAGTTGCTGTTTAGTAAATATGGGAGTGCGCTGGATTTTCATTTTTATTGTACTTATTGGCTCCCAGCAGCACCCTATTTCTGCATGTTTAGGTGAGTGCAACCAGCTACTTGTTTTCTCAAGTCAATATGTATGTCTGGTTAAATGAATGGCTAACTATGTTTGTTTGTGCGGTTATTTTTTTATGTTTGTGTTAACAAGGGTAGGACCCCACAAATGTTTCTTATCTAAAACCCTGCAAATTGTGACTATGAGACAAAAGGTAGGAAAGGAGAAATTACAGTTTTATATTTAAGGACGTGAGAGGCATTACAAACTCTGCCAAAAGCAGAATGTATAGAGACAGACACGAGAGGACAGAACTCACAAGCTTGCTTTATAAACCATTTTATAAGACAAAACTGTATAATGGATTATGTGCCAATTTGTGTTGCATCTGTAAATGATTGAATGGAGCAAAATTTCTAAACAAAGACAAAATAAGACATATCAATATTTTCTGCAGATCGATAAAATAGGATTGTGGTGTTCTTTCTAGTACAACATTAATAGTGTATGCATTGATTATTTCTTTATTTCTAAACAATATGATAAGCTATTTATGATAGTTAGCTTTCCAGGCACGTAAGCCACTGTATAAATAAATTACTGATTATGATAAAGAGCTGTGTTCCATGTCCACTTTGGAAGATTTTTATTTATTTTTTTATCGTAAACTTCAACATCATTATCAGACCTCGTAAAGATAAGTATACTCGACCACGAAACACCAAATTATGCAGTAACTCTATACTTATAAAAACATTGATTATGACTGTGGCACTCAAAGGGTTAATACAGGCATGCACAGGACTTCATTAACTGTGTTGTTGTGAATTAGCAATATAATCAACTATCTCAACAGTAAACCGGATTGGAAAAAAAACAACTCAGTTTATATTGATTCAAGGATAAAAAAAAAAATAGCAGGGATTGCCTGGATCCAATGCTATAACCCAGTGGTCCCCAAGCCAGTCCTCTCACCCTACTACCAGTCCAGGATTTAGGGATTACCCAGTGGTGTTGAAGGTGTTTTTAGAAAAACCAAAGAAAACACCTTGGACGCAACTGAGCCAACACAAAATCGAGGACTGAAGGTAAGGGTGAGGACTGGTTTGGGAACCACTGCTATAGTCAGTTGGTAGCCAAATGGCTGCTTTTACTTCACTCACACTCACACTCAGAGTTATTTACTATAGTGTGAATTGTCAGTAATTCAAATTGAATTTAAAGTTCATTTTCAATTTCAGACCAAATTAGCTCATCTGGAAGCCAGATTCATTTGTAAACTGTTTCTAGTTGATCAACTTAAACGTAAAATTCACTTTAACAACAATTCTCACTTCAGTAAATGACTGTAAAAAATGAGAATTCAGTCATTTCAAATTTAAGGCCAGTGTAGCAGTACTGAAAGCAGAGTTGACGTTGATAATTTCACAGTTTTGACCGTACATTTAAAATTCCCTTTCAATTCATTTTGAATTTAACTTTAGTAAATACATACTGTGGGGGAAAACACAAACCTGTCGAGTGGTTTTCAGGACACTCTATTAATCATGTGGTGTCCAAAAATGCAAGCCACTATTCCAGTACTGTAGAAGACCTCCATAGACCCCTTGGAATCTATGGGAAATGAGCAATGTGATTAGTTGGAACAGAAATTAAACAGGGTAAAGCCACTAAATTGTCTATTATGGTTTCATTTTGCCAATTAAAGCAGTCTATGCAGATGCACATTTAATTTAGTGGAGATTTAAGATTTTTTTTTCCATTTCTTTCTTTTAAATGATGTTTATTTCCATGAGCGGATAATAAGGGTATGGGTGATTCAGATGGCAATGATCAATTAATGTAACAAAAAAAGTAATTTAACAACTCCATCTCATGCTCCTCCATGGATGAGAGGTTAGGAGGAAGCCCATGCATGTCCCCTCACTAGCTCATAGTGGGATCCATTCTACACACTCACATGTTTTGGGGTTTTTTCTTCTTGTACTGTACAGGTAACTCACCCAGTACATACTGTTGAAGTGCTTAGTGCCATGTCATATGAAACATGCTTAACGTAAAAACATCAAAGAACTGATGATAGAACCAGATATTAAGCTGTTTTTAAGGATCTTCACTTTTCCATAATGCCTTGTATACTTATACACGTGAACACATAAATATCCAATGGGCTTAAAGTCCAGCTGACACAGAAAGAATCCCTTGTAAAATTAAATGATTGATATACACTTTTATTGAAATATATAGAGACATACGTGTACAGCATCAACCCATTAAAAAAAGCCAAACTAAGAGGCTCTGCAGAGAGGAAAATTATAGGGGAGAATCTATAATGGACTGTCTGGGAGTCGCTGAGGGAGATGGGAGTGGGAGTCAGGGAAAATACCTAGGAAAAACCTAGTATTAGATATACATATCAATTACAAAACCTTGATAGTGGAAAATAGGAGGGAATAGGAAACCCTATATAACTACTAAACTAACATCCGTATACTGTTTGTACATAAAAGAAAAAAAAATATCCTTCTGTATCAGTACATCCAAGCAACAATAAACAGTTTGCATAGAAAAAACTAATTGTTGCACCTAAAAAGGAAATATGCATCAGCCTTCATATGATTATCTAGGTTAGATTCGACTTCAAGGTTGCTAACTGAAAGAATTAAAGGACCACTCTAGGCACCCAGACCACTTCAGCTTAATGAAGTGGTCTGGGTGCCAGGTCCCTCTAGGATTAACCCTTTTTTTTTATAAACATAGTTTCCTAGAAACTGCTATGTTTATATTAGGGTTAATCCAGCCTCTAAAGCCTCTAGTGGCTGTCTCATTGACAGCCGCTAGAGGCGTTTGTTTGCTTCTCACTGTGAAAATCACAGTGAGAAGACGCCAGCGTCCATATGAAAGCATTATGAATGCTTTCCTATGAGACTGGCTGAATGCGCGCGCAGCTCCTGCCGCGCATGCGCATTCAGCCGAAGAGGAGGATCGGAGGAGGAGGAGAGCTCCCCGCCTGGCGCTGTAAAAAAGGTATGATTTAACCCTTTCCTTTCCCCAGAGCCTGGCGGGAGGGGGTCCCTGAGGGTGTGGGCACCCTCAGGCCAATATAGTGCCAGGAAAATGAGTATGTTTTCCTGGCACTATATGGTCCTTTAAAGCAAAAAGAAGGCTTGATGCAAACAAATAACCAGTCATTCTCTACCCTAAGACTCCCAGAGAATACCCCAGTTATTCACCAAGTCCAGCCATAAAACTCCCTCCAAGAGCGTCCTCACATCTATTCATATAGAATTCTTAGTATTCCCCCCATAAGATTTTACTAACTAAATCACCATAGTGCTAAAAAAAAAATCATTTATTACACTTTCTATGTTATGTTTTCTTTAGTGCATAATTTTTTATCTAAATTAATGAACAGGTGACCATATAATCTTTACTGTGTGGTTACCAACTTCAAAGTAATATTGGCTGCTGTATACTGGAATGCCATACATTGATGTAAATAACCCACCATATCATTGAATATGGGACATGGTAATAAGCATGGGTGTTCAACACTTGTGTTTTAAAGTGTTCACCCCCTCTTAAACCCCTTTGATGTGGGTTATTAGGTAATCATACGTTAGGAGACCACACACTTTGAACATGATTCCGCCTAGTGTGACTCCTCCCATCCTCCTCATTGCGTTGATGAGCTGTGGAGGAGGGAGTGACTCTCCACACATGGGTGGTATGCTAGGGGCAAAATCGGAGAGAAGGTATCAGTTAATTGTCTAAGTATTTACATGCCCTCCAGGGTGGCTATTGGCTGGAGTCACCATGTGACTGGTTTACACTGACAGATAAAAAGAGACCTAGGTGAGGGGCTGGCTTGAATGCCCCGGATGAAGGTGCTCTAGAAGCGCTGAATCGCGCGTCGGCTTACTATTTTTCTTTATTGATCACCTCACTGTTTTTTTTCAGCACTATGGTGATTTAGTTAGTAGAATCTTGTGGGGGGAATACTAAGAATTCTATATGAATAGATGTGAGGACGCTCTTGGAGGGGTTTTTACCCCTTCAGCCCAGCTGGAGGGGGGCCATGAGGGTGGGGGGGACCTAAGGACTACATAGTGCCAGGAAAACTAGTTTGTTTTCCTGGCACTATAGTGGTCTTTTAATGAAGCAGATTTTTGCTGTCTAGATAATGCCTCTGCGTTCTCACTGCTCAATTCTCTGGCATTTAGGATTTATATCACTTTGTTTATGCTGCCATAGGCACACCTCCCTGCATGTGAGTTACACAGGCTTCCTGTAAAGAGTCATCTAATGTTTACACTTCCTTTACTGCAAATTGTGTTTAATTTAAAATGTATTTTCTCCTGCTCTGTTAATACCTTGCTAGACCCTGCAGGAGCCTTAAAGTTCAATTTACAGAGCAGGAGATAAAAAATTTTAAAGGCCAACAAGACTGCATTGCATCCTGCACCTCACAGAATGGTGAGCTCATTATACTGCTACTCCGCACCTCATTGACTCTTGGGCTTTGCCACATTTCAGCCATGTATGACTACTGACATCGGCTCCAAGTGATTACAAATGTCCCTCACCACTTAAAACCTACACACAAATACATTTGGCACTGACTTGACTGCACTACACTGCCATGTTCATCCTTATAAGCGAGACTCTTAATGTTTCATTAGAAACCACTAAAAACAAACCAAAAGAAGAAAAGAAAATGCAAATGAATAGAAAATGTGGCATCAGGAACGGTGGTACAAATGAACTTCGGCTGCCACCTACATTACTCACATAGCAAAGTGCATACATCCCAATGACCATACTATTGTGATTTTTCCTAAATCTTTTTCTACCTTTCTGTTATACCTTTATTTTTCCTATGTTTTAAACAAAATACCTTGACAGCTTGTCCTTGCTTTTCTCACAAAGGAATACATTGTCTGGAATACTGTAACGAATGTTATTCTACAATTTGATGCCTGTAATACTGCATTGTACGCTATATATATTTTACCTATAAGTACCTTCCAACCTCAGTGTAACCTATCATTGAATGTTGTCATCGCAAAAATAAAGAATTTAATTAAAAAAAATTTTTTTAAGTAAGTAACATCTGATTGAAATTGAAACTATTTTGTTTTTATACAGGCTGTGTCAGTCACAGCAGGGGATGAATGGCTAGGGCTGCATAAACAGAAACCAGTGATTTAGCTCCTAAATGGCAGAGAATTGAGGAATGAAACTTCAGAGGGAATAATATATACATCATAACTGCTTCATTAAGCTTAAAGAAGCACTATAGGGTCAGGAACACAAACATGTATTCCTGACCCTATAGGGTTACAACCGCCATCTAGCCCCCTGGTCCCCTCTTGCCTCCCTAAATATAGTAAATCTTACTTGTATTCAAGTCTGCAACTGCATGCTTTATGCCTGTTTCCTTTAGACCTGCCCACTGCCTGCTGACATCAGCAGAAGTGGTAGCCTGATCCAATCACAATGCTTCTCCTTAGGATTGCCTGAGACTGACAAAGAGGCAGATCAGGGGAAGAGCCAGCACAATTCAAACATAGCCCTGGCCAATCAGCATCTCCTCATAGAGATGAATTGAATCAATGAATCTCTATGAGGAAAGTTCAGTGTCTGCATGCAGAGGGAGGAGACACTGAATGTTTGGATGCATTTTAGGCAGCCATAACCCAGGAAGGATCTCTAGCAGCTATCTGAGGAGTGGCCAGTGAAGTTTTCACTAGGCTGTAATGTAAACACTGCATTTTCTCTGAAAAGACAGTGTTTACAGCAAAAGGCATGAAGGTAATGATTCTACTCACCAGAACAAATTCAATAAGCTGTAGTTGTTCTAGTGAATATAGTGTCCCTTTAAGTTGTTTTGGTGACTATAGTGTCCCTTTAATAACTGCTGGAACAGCCAGGAAAGGAGTAAGGCCTAAAAGGAAATGCAAACTGGTTAGTTGTAAGATATAGCATACATCAGTTATCACATGAGCAGTGGTGATTTTATATCCAACTTTCAAACCGTAGGCTAAATTAACCAAACTCGGAAGAAACTTCAAAGGAGCTGAGTCAAAAAAAGTTGTTTTAATCAACTATTTGGATCTACACTTTACAAGTCTTCTTAACTAACCACGACTCACTATTTAGTGAACAGGCCCCTTAAATAGACCCTGGAAATATACTTACAAATCTTGCATGATATATTTTTTCTTTAATCCCTTCTCGTCTCTTCTTTGTTTGGTTCTTTGGTGCATCTGAACATCTAGTGAACTGAAACATAAGGTGTAAAATCTGGAAAACATTAACCTCAGAGAGATCCAGTTTAACTTGTACCCAGACAGTGTCTTGAGAATCAGACAGGAGCTTCCTTTACAGATAAAACTGAAGGGGGATGTAGCAGGGGGTCATTGGTTTAGAAGTATCATTGTCTGTTTGAAAACGTTTCTTTTATTCAAAACATGTCAAAAACAAAATAAAAGATTTAATGAATTTTCCGCCTGTCTAAAACAGTGCAGTGTGATTTAAAGCAAAATGCATGTTAATAATGTTGTGTGCATGGTAAACGAGTCTCTTGCTTTGTAATCTCTCCACATGGGAAAATTTGTCAAGAAGGGGAATAAAGTATGGATAAGGACACCTGTAATCCACAGAGTAGTAATATGCGTGGTGATTGCTTTAAGACTATTTGCATTCCAGTTTTAGTAGAAGACAGAATGTGTGATTTACTGGCCATTCAGTTACAGATTGCAAGAAATATTACAATTTGGAGAAAAGCCTGTACTTATCAGAACATTTTGCTTATCAGAATATTGGAAAGGCCACTGAAAAGATATATGAAAAAACTGACCAGGTAAACTGAATTTTTAGCTCAAAACAGATGAACTAACAAAATATATATAATTTACAAAAAATATGTATATTTTTCAGCTGGCCTAAAATTTTACATTTACTTTGAATTCCTACTTTAGTTAATAAAACTGAAAGTCTGGTTTTGATTATATTTTTAAATAATAAACTGTCTTTCATTTCTTTCTTTCCATGTAAGAGTTTTGTGCATGCTGCCCCTACAGTGTGAGAGTGTAAGTGCACATGACTGCAAATCGTTTATATGTGTAACAAATCAACAAACATTTATAATAAATATACCAACACAAGTTTCTTTGGAAACTAGAACTAGTATCTATTAAAATATTATATTCAGTGTTCTAGTACATTGCTTGAATAAAATTCACTCAAAGTACCGAAAATAATACTACATTAATATATTTTGTGATTGGGTCACGGATGTAAGAAAAATAAATGTTATCAATTGATTGGTAGAAGTAAATGTTGCTTCTAAAGTAAAAATATATGTCCACAGACTTTTGTTTAATTGTAATGCTCTGTGATCCTTGCTTTAAATAGTAAATATGACCTGATACATGTACTGATCATAAAGTACCTAGGCCTAGATGTGTACACAATTCTAATTAGGAACAGACTGGTGCAGAGTAAGCCATTGAACGTGGAGCAGTCTCCATGGAAACCAGTGGAATTTTACTGCTGATTATTTGATTTGTAAAACTTTGCACAATAATTGCACTTAATTTGTTACTCTTATTATGTCTACCACATTCAGTAGGTAAAATCTATTTTTGAGCCATCCACCAATCAGTAAATTTTAAACAATGTAAGGTTTAAAGGGACACTATAGTCACCAAAACCATTTTTGCTTAATGAAGCAGTTTGGTGTATAGATCATGTCCCTGCAGTCTCACTGCTCTGCCATTTAGGAGTTAAATCACTTTGTTTATGAACCCTTGTCACACCTCCCTGCATGTGACTTGCATAGCCTTCCTAAACACTTCCTGTAAAGAGTCATCTAAAGTTTCTTTCCTTTATTGCAAGTTGTGTTTCATTTAGACTTTCTTATTCCCTGCTATGTTAATAGCTTGCTAGAACCTGTAAGAGCTTCCTGTATATGATTAAAGTTCAATTTAGAGAGAAAGAGATACAATTGTTTAAGGTAAATTACATCTCATTGAACGTGAAACCAGTTTTTTTTTTTTCATGCAGGCTGTGTCAGTCATAGCCAGGGGAGTTGTGGCAAGGGCTGCATAAATGGAAACAAAGTGATTTAACTCCTAAATGGCAGTGAATTGAGCAGTGAAACCTGAGAAGCATGATCTATACACTAAAACTACTTCATTAAGCTAAAGTTGTTTAGGTGACTGCATTGGTCCTTTAAATTGTGTTTATTTCCATGAGCAGATAATAAGGGTATGGGTGATTCAGATGACCATGATCTATTAATGTAACAATAAAAGTAATTTAACAACTCCTTCTCATTAAGCTAAAGTTGTTTAGGTGACTATAGTTTTCCTTTAATATAATAAAAGTAAAAAAAGATTCTTCTTTTATTTAGAAATATTTGGACTGCTAAAGAGGGAAAGCCTTTGAGATAGTAGGACTTGTATTTAAAATGATTATTAAAAAAAATAACTGCTTTATTTTTTATATTCTTATTTCACCATCATTATGTAATACATCTAAATATCCATTGGAACATTAAAAACATTTACAGACTATGTCATACATATTTATAATTAAAATATCTAGTCAAAATATATAGTAAGTAAAGAAAACAAAATAATTGGCATAGTTAAAGAAGAAAAGAAAAGAAAGACTGCTAAGAACTAATAGGATTGATTTGTATTTTTTTTTTAAACAAAATTATGAATTAAATTAAATTCTAAAAAATAGATTTTATTTTTTTATATCCTGCCCTATATAATATATTATGTCCCACCAATGTGTTTTCTTGTGCAAGTGGCAAAGAAGGGAATGCTGGGGGACCTTTTAAATAATATATAATTCTGTTGTGCAGTAAAATATAATATATATGTCACCTTTGTCTTTTAATTGCCCTTTTTTTCACATCCATAAATTGCTAGGGAGCAGTGCTCACCTCCAATTACTGGTACGTGTGCCATATACTACTATAATATGGTGAGCTGTTTCTTCAGCCAAATTCCTCTCACAAAATCCTCTGATCTGCTTGTTTCTACAGTTGTGCTTTATGCATCTCAGTATATAATGAAGGAATATTTTCTTTCAATTGTGAAACATTGTTTCAAACGGCATATAAAAGAATTTATGGCTGTTAGTTCTAACACTATGCTATGCTGCCAAGCAAGGTTACATTTAAAAAGTAACAGGAATGTATTTTGAAAATGTATAACTTATTGCACGGTACTGGCCTAAAAAAAATAAAAAATGGTAACACCTTATTTATTTGGGGGGAGTATATTAATTCTGGTGTAGGCTGCAAAGGAAATATATATATATGTGTGTGTGTGTGTATGTATGTATATATATATATTCACTCATTCACTCTACAAAACGGAAGAATCCAATACAATAGGGTATCTATTTTAGGATAATCACAAGGTTCCCTGACCTGTCAGATATAGAGGGCAAAACACCAAGTAATCATTTAATACAATAGGCTTAAGATACGTGTTCCATTCCTATACTGAAGTGGTGACAAACATGTATATGATGGGACACTAATAATAAAATATTAAGTGACAAATAGATGGATAAATTAAATGTTCTCTATTAAATTACTCCTATAATATTTATATCAGTGTCTGAAGGATTTACATATATTTCTAGAACATATTAATTATTATTAAGTTTATAAGGGGAAAAAGAAGTGTAGAGTTCCCTCACCGAGTTATCTGAAGGAAGTGGCCCGAGACGGGCTAATAGAAGTCATTCAGCATTGTACACCTGTCTCCCCATCTGCAGGAAGCAGCTCTTGGTAGCCAGGGGCTATAGGGCCAGTCTGGAAATTGCAGGTTCCGCCGTGTAATTCTCTCCTTGTCTCTCCTCTTGTATTCTTCTTAAGAAGAATGCAGCCTGTGAGGGTCCAAGGAGGACATGTTTGATGGACATACAGGGAGAAGAAGAGAAGACGACAAAGTAGGGCGTTACTCGCTAAACAGTCATTTCTGGCGACTTCATTGGCGACTTGCACATGTTATTTAAATGTAAAAATAACTGCAATAACTCTCCAGGATCGCCAAAATGAAGAGTTGTGCCAATTAATTCAAACCAATCTAAATAATTATAAAAACCAAATGATATAGCTATAAAGTGCAATAGTAGCATTGTAGCACTGTTATATAATAAGATCGCCAACTATAAGGATGTTTGGCCTACAATTTGTAAACCGGCTCTGTGCCCACTCTTCCTCGGGAGATCCGTCTCTTACATACATAAAGGATGAGGTTTTGTTGCCTGTGGAGTATATCACATACAACACACATGACCAAACCCTCTCATGTATCAGTTCCAGTTTGGATGTTAGAATCTAGTAGCAGTACTAGATGCTCCCCTGTACGATATATTTTTTTTTTAATGGAATATTTCACTTTGTAAATAAATCCAGAGAGATGAAGGAATCAATATAATTTCACATTCTGCAACTTGGACATTAAAAATGCAGGCAAAGTGATTTACTGTTTTACATGCCTGTATTGGGTTAGCTTATCCCTTACCCAGACCCATTGCCTTTATCCATAATGTAAAATAATGTTAGCAAGTTTAACCTTGTCAATGCCAGTGCCCATTACCTCTCAATGATTATACTGACAATTAAGGACATATTAAGGGCAATTGTGTAAATGTTGTACCAATAATGTACGATTTGTTGTTAAAGCATGGTGGGAATTAGTAATATAAAATCAATGTTTTATAATATTATGATGTGTGGCAACAATGACATATTGTACTTTAACCATAAAAATACACCCATGTGTTTATGGTTTGCAGAATGTTAACATTGGGAGAATTAAGTATTGACAGGATCTGTGATGACTATATAATACAATAATATTTATCTATTTGAAAAACATTGACCAAATATTCACCATATTTATCAAATGAGCAATGTTTTCTCTTACTAATATGCTGGCATCTATCTATCTGTCTGTCTGTCTATCTTTAACCTATCTATGACAGTAAAATAGTTAACATAGATTTTGTAACATACTTGATTTTATATTTTGTTTTATACTTGTGTGTGAATATATATAATGCAGTATATAGTAGCAGATCAATAATTGTTTTTATTGAATTAACAGATAACCAGTCTGTACATTAATAACAAACAAATGTACACTCTCTCTCTCTCTCTCTCTCTCTCTCTCTCTCTCTCTCTCTCTCTCTCTCTCTCTCTCTCTCTCTCTCTCTCTCTCTCTCGATATTCCCAAGTCTTAATTGCATTAGTTAAAGAGTATGTGGAACATGGAAGTTTGATCCTCAAAAAAGGAAGGAAACGGAAAGTGATTGAAAATAAAGTTGAAACTGACCCTCGCATTCAAACCTTGCACCTGTATCTATTTTACCTGATTATTTATTCTTGTTAAATCAGACTGGCAGTCCCCCCATCTGGAACTGCTTTTTATCTCGTTTTTTTGTAACTAGGAGAAAACAAAGAGTTAAATTCATCAACTTCATATTTTACTGATTACAAAGAGGTCTCCAAAGGAAAACCAGGGAGAGGAATAATGATGTTGACTTCTTAAGCCTTCTAGAAAGAATTAAAGCAGGATACTCAATCACCCCCGGCCAGTGCCTGTGAGCTGCCATGACTGCGGATAGAGCTCTAGAAAACCAGGACAGTGATTAGGGCTCTAGACTGACCCAGCTCAATCTCCATTAAAGCTGCCCCTTAATGGTAAGAACCAGCTTGCTTTTATTTAACCATTAATTGCTCATAATGTCTCTAATCTTCATGTTTGGCTCTGAATTCTCGATTGTACTTGTATCCTGAATAATTCTATATGTCTACATTTTAAACAAACTTGTAGGTGTGTGTATGTTTGTGTATTGTGTATGTATGTATGTATGTGTACACACACATATGAATTGTTTTTCATATTTAGATGAACATATAATGAAATAGCTAGAAAAATAAAAACTTTGAAATAGCTAGAAAGCTGCTACATTTTACAGTTATAATAAATAATATTTAAATAATGCCAGATTATGTCATATTATATATTGTGTCTGGGTGATCACGTGACCCCCTGATTATTAGACATGTGTATGTGTGTTTAGAACATGCATACATTCACACACACTTTTACCCAATTAAGTCAAATATGTTGAGGTGGCATGGGGTTTTACAAACTATTAGCACTGGATTTCTCTATTTGTTCACCGTGATCCTTCAGTAACCCAATCTTTACGACCACCCCTAGGTTTGGTAAACAATTCTGTAAGTCAGGTACACCTGACTCAATCCCTCCTCTGTCCCAGAGGTCCATTTACAAGACTTAACAGGACTGGTTCTCTATCTCTATCATAATCCCTGCAAAGATGCAATGACAACATTATTTTATTCAATATTAGCTTTAACTAATCCTTTTTATTTAAGGGATAACATTGCAGTAAATACAGGGCTTGCTTTAATGCACTTACTGACTCCCACAGGATTGTAAATACATTTCTTGAAAACCCTCAAATATCTGAAGGGATGGAGAGTTTGTTTGTGTGTGGCCCTGGGAGTTTGATAAATATTTTCTTCCTCATTAGTTCAACGACTCTCTTTAATACTGAGAGAAAAAACAGTTTGCAGGTTTAGAATTGAAACATGAAACAGGGGTAAGGGAGCTGTGCCTAATGCAATAGTTTACATATAAACCAGTCAATAACAGACTGTGTCCTGCTCTCTTTTATGATTGAAATATAATAACTGGTACAGTCAAACAAGATGACTACTTGTTGTGGTGCCCTGATGTAAAGTTGTGTAGGAACACACCATGTAAACATCTGCATCAAACATTTAGTCACTGGCAAAATAAATCCAGTTTTAAGCTCTCTCTCTCCGGTTTGAGTCTGTTGTAATAAACAATTTCAATTTTGTGGAATTCAGACTTCATGAATAATGAGAGTCGTTTTAACAGAATTGAAATTGCTTTTCTGTCCCTATGTAGTTTAAAGTAAATAGCAGGTTTGCTGTACAATGTAAATCATACTACATACTACACAATAGCTTTTAGGGCTGTGATGGTCTAATCGCAGTTCTAGTTTATGGTCCCTAATAGAAGTTTGGTTGGGAGTAGTAGTGTGACTTTGCTGGGATGCCCGGAGGGGGGAGAGGGGAGGGAGGGATTTACAATGTTGTACAACTCTATCAGCACTCAGCAAACACGCACAAAGGGGTTAATTTAGTCCCAACACAGTGAAGACTTTGTAATTGAAAATCAATCAACCTGCTGGACTGTTGAGAACAAGGTCAGAGCTCAATGATCAAAGAAGAGAGGGGAGAGTTGGGAAATAGTATGGTGTGTGTATGTGTATTGGGGAGGGGGGGGAATGTGTATTCAGAGGAGTGTGGAAAATAACGATTTTATACTTGCGTTCCAGATCTAGTGCCAGAAAAAATAATAGCAGAAAATGCATTTCTATTTTCAGACTGCTGTGATCGGTTACAAGATATCATCAGTGATCTCTTGTCATTTTATATCGAATATTTTTTTGTTGGGGGGAGGAGAGAATTCAGAGGACTAAAAATGAACTATTTCAGTGCTGCGTTCACCCACTGATTGCCCAGCTAGGGCTGGCACAGGCGAGGTGACAAATATTTATGTGCCAGTTCTTTAATTAAAGACAAGATGCCAGCCAGGCACAATCTTGATATCACGTTATGGCAGTGACGACGTAAGTTGGCACCCCACGTGTTTCTCAACTGCAGCTCCCATGCTGCTCAGCCTACCTATAGACTGGCTGTGCATGGTGGGAAATGCAGTCCAAAAATACTATCATAACTTTCTGCAGTGTCAAAGTTAGTCATTACTTACCTAATATTATCTTAAGGCTTGTTTGTTTGTTTTTTATCCCTGATATTGGGTAGGCACCTTCTCTGCATCAGATTATAAGAATCTGGCAGAGGGTTGCAATTTATTTCCATTTATATCAGAATTGTGGCATTTATTGCCGTGCCATTAAATTGGACCGAGTAATTTGGGTTTGCTTTGTTCTGCACAATCTGCGATGCCAGACAAGATAAAGCCTTTCGTTTTTATGAATATTGCCTCATTGTTTCATTGTATGGACAAGGTATTCATTCTGAGTGAGTGGCCCCTAGATCTGATGATGATGTAACAATTTAGTATGATATATTGGGAGCCATTAAAAATATAGAGCCAGGCACTCCTTGTTGTCTGCAGTATTACATCTCATTAACGATGCACATATTGGAGATAGACTAGATAGCTGGATGGGACTGCTATTCATTTTGTTTCAGCTGACTGATCAATTTAAGAGGTACTTTTTTTGGTTGAAAATGACACCTATAGTGAATCTGGGGAAGGTCAAATCTCATTTTAAATCATGAGTATATTTAAATGCAAAGATCAAATATTATTTGAATGGAAATGAATAAAGATTTTTATTATTTTAGTGTTGCTGTGAAAAATATAATAATGTTAATTTAATAACAAATAATAATGTCTGTGTCATCTACATGAAGAATGTGATCTGGTGTAAAGGTTTCTGAAAACACTACAGATGTCTACATCTCTAAAAGGTGTAAAGTGCTGTGACTATAGTGATTTTCATTTATTCCTAGAAAACCGAATATTTGCATACAGTTTAAATATCATATATTAGCAGTGTAAATTGTCTTGTTAGGACATACATATGAAAACTCCGAATTTTACAGTTGCACCTTGTTGCTATGGCAGTAGTATTCATTGTAAGGCATTCATTGCTATAGGGCTGCGTCACAGTATTGGTTGAAGAATTAATGTTGTATCAGTATTTCTTGTGAAAGGAGGGGTACTGGCACACAGAGTATACCATAAATAAGTATTTAAATAATGTTTTTAATATCTCATGTACCTGTCAATATGTGTGCTTCATATTAGGATTAGTGCTAATATAGTACTACAAATTATGGGTACAATACATTGCATTTAACTTATTTTAAATTCTCCTGAATAACTTTAACAAGTAGTTTTCTAAATTGTTAAATAATGGACATAGTTCAGAAATGAACATGTATCATCTATCTATCTATCTGCATATTGGAACTATACAGCTAATCTAAATTGAATTAAATATCTGCGGTTAGCAGCTGTTTAAAAGGACCCAGGGAATCCTCACACCTTAAGGCAGAAGTCCTAATTATGTTTTTTTTTTTTTTTATATATTGACATTTTGTATCTATCTATCTTATTTCTCGATACAGTGTTTTTACATTCACTATCCAGTAATTTATATTATTCAGTAATTGAGTTGTTTCTTTAGTAGCAGTCTGTCCTAGATGGATAAATGAATGAAGGTGGGTGAGTTAGAATGATACATTTCTCTCTGGGAGCAGTTCATGTCCAGTGATGCTCAGTACTGAGAGAATGACCCTGTGCGTTATCCTATGAATATTATTCACAGATCTCTCTCTCTGCTGCTCCTTGTCCGGGTGTTAGCGCCCCCCTCTGACTCTAGATAACACACAATCTAATCCTGGAACAGCAATCTGCCCGCAGGTTCGTTCAGTCACTGAACTTTTACGTCTGTTGGACTTTTGAAGTCTGTAAAAAAACATTTCCCATATTTAGCTATAAATAATACACCTATGTGTGTATATATAATTCATAACACACCTGTACAGTTCTAACTAATAATACAACTATATAAATATAAACAATAAATCTTTATATTATATTGAACAACACACACACACACACACACACATATAGATATATAGATATAGTGTGTGTGTATACCATATCTACAAAAAATATATAGCTACAAGTAATAATACACCTACATAGCTACAATAACTAGTACAACTATATAGCTATTGCTAAATATGTATTTATATATAGTGTGTGTGTGTGTGTGTGTGTGTGTGTGTCAATACACATGTATAGCTTTAATATATACAGAGTTATTCACTAAGGGGAAATAATTTCAAATTTAAGGTCAAAATAGCCAAATTCTCTAAATTCTCTAAATCAGCTATATTTTCCTTTCAGCAACTCTGGCCTTAAATCTGAAATTCACTTTGAATGCACTTGGAGTTCTCACTTTAGTAAATAAAACCTGATAGCTTTAACTAATACACCTATAGAGCTGTACATAATACACATATTGATAGAAGTATACAGCAATAAAAAATACATCCATATAGATATAACTAATACACATATATATTATGAGACCAAGTATTCATAATGGAATTTTATATTCAACCAGACAACTGATATTAATTAGCAGTTAAAAGACACTGTGAACAGTAAATCAGCACATTTTAAATACATCCCATTCTACCTCCCTCTCCCTTTGTCTCTCATGCCCACGAATAAATCTACAGGTAGGTCAATATATAGATCTGTAGGTAGTATAAAAATGTTACGTTTGATTGTCTGCAGACATGATAAAACAGATATAACGAGCAGTGCAAGGGAAGTACTTTGTATTTAGTGTAACAGTGGAAGCATAAAATAGATTATATTATTTTGCTACTTTGTATTGTGAATAGTAATTGGATGTTTTGGGCAGTCATAATAAAACCGATAAAATCGAACCCCATATTGTACCATCTCTGTGAGTAGTTTTCTTTATTTGTTTTGTAATTCTGGTCATTATCATTTTACTTTTTGTTCAGAATATTTGGGATTTTAGACAGTTTTTTTTTTTTATATATAATTACTGGACTATTTTTCACTACAAAATTAAAGCAATTAAAATTCACACACACATATATACACACACAGACACACACACACACACACTGAATATATTATTGTAAACTCATCACAGGTAATACTTTTACCCCCATAACTAAACGTTTACCACTCGTGGGGAAAAAAAAATATTTAATCAATTGAATTATCACATTGTAATGTATCCACAAAATGTAGGACTTCCCATTCATGTTAATTTAGTCTATGCATAATTGTAATCAGTGACATTTTAGCTATGTAATATATTGAAAAAGCAAAGAAAGAAAAACATAATAGAATAAAAATTGTTTTCTTCCAATTTATTTTTCCTATCTATCTATTTATCTATTTTTACCTAACAAACACACAGAAAAAAATATTCAGTGCTGCATTCAAAATATCTTCTTCTCTAAAAAAAGGAAATTTTAAAAACATAGTTTCTCTAACAGTTGCTTTTAAACATCTGTTTAGGAGATCTATTTACTAAACAATGAGTTATGGGGATTTCACAACCCACCTGCAAAGGTTAGGATGTTATATACAATTTATTGAATAGACATCTGTCCCTTATCGTATCATTCATTTTTGTCTCATCAAACATTATCACAGAATTGACAGGGATCTGATTCCATCAAAAATATGTGTTTCCCAGCATTGTATCAGAAATGTTTACGTTCCCTAAATCTTGCTTTAGACCATATGGGGAGTATACGGGATGTAAAGAAAGGCTCGATTCACAGAAATTGACACCTGTTAATCATAGTCACACAGCTCCCCTTTTCCCACTCTGTCTAAGGTTGGTTGTACAAAGCCCCATTGTTTCAGTGTCTTGCTATATTTCTCATTGAAACCCAACAAGCACTGATATCAGGAGCTATGAGCTGATTCTCTCTCTGAATTGAACCTGTTGCTCTGGGCTGTATCTCTTGATTGCACCAGGTCCTTTCTCCTGTTGTACCTCTCCAAAATGTCCTGCAGGTTGTCCTGGAGTCCCTTCGGCCCTGAGAGGCTCTGGAGATGAGGGCAGTGTGTGCAGTGTGTTTTGATAAGGGTTACAGTATCTGCAAGTCAGCACAGGAGCAGGGAAAACTTTCTATCCGGAAAGAATGAATTGAATGGAATCCGCCTACCTTTTATTATCAACTGCTGCATGTATTATCTACAGTCACAGCACCAATGCTAACTGAAATTACTCCCCCTCCACCATCGCCAGGCCCCATCTCCCTCTTACCCACCTTTTAGGGGGTATATTAAATCACGTATTTGCTAGAGGGATTAGAAAAAGGTTACTGCTCATTTCAAATAGGGTGGTTTTGTTAACTCCTTTAACACCCTGTTGGTGATGGGGGTGAAAATTGGAAGTCTAGGAGTTCGTTATTTGATATATTGTTATTAGCTAATACCATTATTGAAGTTCAGTTCGAATAGCAAAATAGGTAAAAAAAAAAATAATAATTTAAAAAAGCTATTAGAAAAAAAGTGATTCTATACACATGATTAGATGTATGTTTGTTTTTGTGTGTATACATGTGTAAATAAAAAAAACAGTAAACATTATACACGAATGAATAAATACATGCATTAATTGATGGACAAGGTCAGAGTGAGCAATGATGAGCAATAAACCTTTTACTGATACAAAGACAATTCAGGCTGGCCAGACAAAGATTGGATCAGCACTGTACTTTTTTTAAGATCCAACTTTATTATATAAATAAGGACTAAGTTACCTGTATCCCAAAAGACATGAAAAAAAAATACCCCCTCCCCTCCATTAAAAGCAAAATTATGGCTTTTCTTTACATTTTTAATTCCTTTAAATGTTTGTGTTTGTTAATCTGGTCTTTGTTAGTAAGGCTGATACAAGGGGATTGTGTAAATACATTTGTTTAAACATGTAGGGAGAACATTTGTATGTTTGCCAGTTTGGAATAAGAGTGTTTGGATTTTTTATATGTGAGATTTCCATTCATTTCCTATAGAGTGCATGAAGCCAGGTCCCATGCTTTAGGAGAGGGAGGAGAAAGCAGGGAATGGCTTGTTCCTTGTGAGAATAGTTATTTTTCATCAGTCACTTGCAATTTGTCTAAGTGGACAGGACAGGACACCAGCAGCCCTGCTGACTGAGGTCACAGTGACAACACAGCTATGGGGAAGAGCAAATTGCATTTACTGACAAACTCACAGATCCAAATTACTGCCTTTGCATGGAAAGGGGGAAGAAGGAGAGGTCCATGTGACATGGGGGGGATATGAAGGACTTTGACAGGTCTTAAACGGCCTGGCGCCAAGGACTAAGTCTACTTCTAAAAATAGTAAACGGATGAGGAGAAGAGATGGGTGAAGATTAAAGGAAGAAAAATTAGGGAGAATGGGACCGTGGGATGGGGGACACTTTAAAGAAATGAGTCTGGAACTCAGAATGTTTCTTTAAACTTTTTTGATGATACATTTATTTAAACCAATTTACTGGGGAAAAAAATCATTTTTTAAAAAAAGTTGTTTTTGTTTTTTTTTAAAGAGGAACCTTTAGATTATAGCTTCAAATACACGTTTCCACTGTGTGTGGATGCTGTTAGGCTTGGATGAGATGGAGGGGTACATTTTTCCTGATTAAAATATTGAACTTGCCCTTAATTAAGTTGAATATATTCGATAAAACGATTTAATTCACTGCTTGGCTTTAATTACTTTATAGAATTCTCTATTTTGGCGTTTTTACTCACCTCCTCAGAAAATGAATGAGTATTTTTTGCATCTCAGCTTTGGGGTATTGTCTAAATATTCCACAGTATCTTGTGTTTAAACATTATCAGCAACATTCTATTACTTGTGTTCTAACTAGCCCTTAGTGCTTATTCACATTGTCTCTACTAAAGGGATAAAGCACAGGAATTCAAAAAAAAAAAATCACACGTGATTCAGACACTGAGAGTTCTTTTTCGTGGATGATTTGACAATCAATTAATAAGAAGTAGGCCAAACAAACCAACATGAAAATGATTTTCGCCCGAATTGACCAGCCTTCCAATTCGGCTATTTAGGTTTCATTTTGCAAGTCGGTTATAAACTCACGACAAACGTTTAAATACTATTATTACATAAGTGCATTTACAAAGCAATAGTGTAGCTAACATACTTACTCTCTCACTATTAATGCTCTATGACTGATTTACGTAGAATGGGCTGAATATATATCTTATTTTATGAGAATTCTGGCCATGCCTAATCAAACATTACTTTTGCAAGTAATTTTCTTTTCTTTTATTAATCAAAATCAACAACTAGCATTCTTATTATATTATTTTGATTAATTTTCCCAATTAAAAAAAATGCTTCAAAGAATGTATTTTGCTAATAAAAGGATATCCGGTACAATTAAATGTATTCTGGCTCCTATGCTAGAGAGACATTTACGTTTACTAGTAGTATATAATAGCATTCATTTAAGCATACATCACATTAGTTTCTTTGAAATACTTATAGAATATAGGTTATTGGTTGTTTTATTTATGTGGATATTATTACATGCACAATGGTATAAAACATGTATTATGCACAAAGTAACCTTCTCCTAGTAAAAAAAAAAAAAAAAAAGACTGATATACTCTCTAATAACCCTATGATTATAATCATGAAAATATGGCATTTTATGCCTTGAAGTTTATTGAAACAAACCAGTAAAAGATGCTACTCTTTCCAATAATAATAATATTATTTCCTATGTTTTACATGTTAAAGGAACAATGCATAGGCTTTCTAACCATTAAAGTGCTGTACACAAATTAGCTCATTCTCTCCTTGTCTACAATACACATATTCTAGATTCTGGGTCTAATGATAGCTTTTGCCATTATAAAGAAATGGCCAGGCAGGAACTATACAGAGAGATGTGAAAGCTTTCTAGCTCTTACCTGAATTCTATTCATTCTTTTCAGTGATCCATTCAATACCTGAAAGGTCATGCATGCTTTATACATGCACAGACATATATAGACACACGTACACATCACACACACATGCACAAAATGTATAGCCAGTAAACAGCCATATATATCCAGATAAGAAGCCTCTCTATACACACAGCAACACACACATACATTGTACAGCACACAATCAGAAAGCTGCAAAGACGGATGTCTGTGCAGCAATGGTAGAGTACGCAAAGAAACACAACAAACAGACACAGACACCTAGTGCAATGCCACTTTCACTGTTTGTCATTTGAGGATACTCTCAACCTCCCTTTAGTTAACATGCCCCATCAATAGATACAATGTTATTCTTGATAAGAGCAATAAAGTCCTAGCAACAATTACACAATGCCGTGTTGTAAGAGGTCCTGATTACACTTGTATAAGTCGGTTTTAATTCTCCAGCGGCGCCAGAGTCATTGCAAGGTAAGGGAGAGCAAGGGGCAGGACTGGAGGGAGACAAGACATGACACCTTGTGTAACAGGCCTGATGCCTATCTTTGCTCTCACACTTGTCCCATATGCTGTCCCTAAAAGTCTGAGCAAGGCAGACTCTGACACTATCTTATCTGCCTCTTACGTGACAGGAGGGACAGGCTTGTGTGTGCCAATAATTCGTTTAGAAGAGAAAATGACAATGTATTAAGTAGTGCTCGATCAGGGAGATTGTCTGTTGTCATGTTAACTTGATTATATTATCAATGCATGTTTGCTGGGCAGATGGTCACAACATGTCTGGATCCTGTAATGACATCTAACTGGAGATATACGTATATATCTTTATATATGTGTGTGTGTGTAATATATATATATATATATATTGGCCTTTGTAAATATAAGCATTCTGCTGTATGAGTTGATCAGATAATGGTACAGTACTATTTGTTTACAGATAACAAGATATATATGGCTTGTTTCACACACATATATTGTATGTGTGTGTATATATGTGTGTGTGTGTGTATATACACACACATATATATATATTGTGAATGTATATTTGAGTGTGCATTTTCATATTAATACTTGTTTGACAACTAAATGCAGACAAGAATGTGAATTTTTGCAGAGACACCAGAAGTCCCAGACAGCAAGCATTGCCCATTATGACTTAATTGTGTTAGCTGTTCAGCTATTGTTGTAAGTGTAGGATGAGTGCAGTTTAGATGCAGAGGAGATAGGACACCCTTGTTTTGTATTCTAGTGGGCATTTAATGGCCATGAGGAGATCAGACAGGGTAGGGCTCTGATCACTGGAGAATCCGGCTGACAGACATTTTTTTTCCCCTCTGCTCGGGAGCAAAGAGACCAGCATTTGGAGGGCGCTGTTTGAAGATTTTTTGGGTAAATATGAAGTGACAAGAGACGGTTCTTATTGTAAGACGTCAGCAGACTGGCGCCAAGCGGCTCTTTAACAAACTGAGCCCCAGTTAATCAGAACGGATCTATAAATGGACCTCTTAAAGGGACAGAGCCAGGCTGCAGTGTGTGTGTGTGTGTGTGTTTGTAACATGACAACTTTCTATAGGAAGTATAAACAGCCAGGAAGCACCAACAAGCAGATCTACTAGCTACAGCAAAAGCACACATGCATTAAACCCAGAGAGATGTTTTATTATCATTATTAATGAAACCAATCACATCCCCATTTATAGACAGCAGCACAAAGTCATCTTTGTTTCATTAGATACAAACCTCTAATTATTATCCCCTCTCCTGTTATGTGTCACAGAGCCTATTGCTGAGAAGTCATCTTAGACTTCATGAAACCATTCCCAAGATGCACTGATAAACCCATCTGACAGGGGTTAGGGAAGCTGGGAATGCTGTCCTTTTAACCCTATTAGACACATTCCAGACACATGCTACGAGTGGTGGGTTGTGTCATAGAGGAAGGTTTATAATAAAGAGAATATTATTTGTGATGCACTGTAATATGTATCAAATATGTCATTGTCATCTTGCAATTATATGGATTTGGCTTATATTAGACAAAAAATATCTGAGGCAGTTTTTCAGTCATCACTCACCCCCATTTTTCTTCATTATTCTGGATATCCATTCACTTGTGCCTCTTTCCCATCCGAAGAATGCTTCTTCCCTAACTGAACTGTGCAAATGACCTCAGGGGCTGGATTTAAAGCGGCGATGCCCCAAAGCTCAGTATTCTAGTTTCCCCTTTACAACCAGCAGGAGGGATGTACCCAAACACAACAGTGCATAAGAAAGAATGGGGGAAATATTCCAGGCAACAATAACACTACCAGCACGTATGGTATGCTAACGACGGATTTCTTCCAGTATATGCCAGTCTGTGGAGTTTGGAGAAAAAAAAAAAAGCAAACATGCGTGTACTTTTTGTAGGGTGTAGGGTGGGCCCCACCTCTCTTACTGCAGCTAACATGCAGCTACACAATATAGACACAGACATCAGCTTTAATTCATTCTAACTCCGTGAGTCCAGCAGCGTTACAGATCCCACAAGAAGTAGAAAAGTAAAGGTACTCCCCTAAAAACCCACAAAACCGTGTTACACGTTATTAAAGACCGTGCTATGCTCTGTGGGGGGTTGTGTGTGTGTATAAATTGCATTAAAAAGAAGAAAAAGTGTGTGTATATGTATGTGTGTGTGTTTTTTTTTATTCTTTATCATCTATTTTATTATATAGATTTATATGTAATAATATGACTGAAAATAATAGGGGCTCAGAACTGACACATTTATATATGTATGTATTTCCCCTGCTCCCTACTTGGTCCCCCATGAAGCATCTCACCCTGCCGGCTAGGGGATCTGACTCAGCCCGGTGTGCAGGACGCTGCTGCTCCTGTGGGTGGAGATTTGAAGCCCTTTCCCTCTGTCATTGGTTAATATTTTATTCTGTTGACATGTTTTCTTACTGCCGATGCTTCCGACACCTTCCTTTTTTTTTCTCTCCCCCCTCACTCATCCAGATCTTGGCCTGAGCTGTCAAAACCCCGCCTATGGAGATCCACAATTGGTCCAAAAAGCGTAAAATCAGCAATCAAGGGGGCTTGGCTCATTAGCAAGGGGATCAGAGCAGGAAGGACATGTGAGATAGTCACAGTTTTACAGAGATCACGACAAGATTCTAACCCATTCCCACTCACATCTTACACCATGACCAGCAGGACTCACACCACCACTACTTTATCTCCCTAAAACTCACCACTGGACTTTTTATTCTTCACGGTTTCCACCAATATCATCTAAAGAAAAGACAAAACAAGAGGGAAACTAAACAGAAAAAAAACAAAACAGTTACTTTTCTCTACTGTGGAAGAACTTGCCTTATTCATTTTCTCCTGTAAGATTCTAAGGAAGATCTGCAGCCTGGAAGTGAATAGAACGATCCCCTGTGCACTGGGACTGTTCCACTGGACACTGTGAGATTCTAGAACCCAGGACCAGGCTAGCTCTGGGTTAACGTTCGATCTGTACTTCCCGGGGAGCTACACGTTCTTTCCTGGATTTTTGGATGCACCGATGAGAGATCCAGCTTTCCCGGGGACTGCGATGGCTTATCACCCTTTTCACGCTCCCAGACCAGCCGATTTCCCCATGTCTGCTTTCCTAGCAGCCACCCAGCCCTCCTTCTTCCCGACTCTGGCTCTGCCCCCGGCTGCTCTGGGAAAGCCCCTCACAGACCCCAGCCTGGCTGGAGCAGCTGAAGCTGGACTGCACGTCTCGGCCCTGGGACATCACCACCAAGCGGCCCATCTGCGCTCTCTCAAGAGCCTGGAGCCTGAGGAGGAGGTGGAGGACGACCCCAAAGTGACCCTGGAAGCCAAGGAGCTCTGGGACCAGTTCCACAAATTAGGCACGGAAATGGTCATCACCAAGTCAGGAAGGTGAGTATTGAATGACTCTAGACACAGGGGTAAACTAGCCCTGTAACGCTTTTAGAATGTGTTTCTAATATTATTATACGTTTTTTTGTTAAATATCTAAAATCATTTAATGCAATTTAACCACCTCCAATATAGGTCCACAAAGGCTAGCATTTTACTAAATGTACTGGAGAAAAAAAAAATTATTATTTTTTTTCTTGCTTTTAAATAATTGTTCATTTAATTGTGGCCCCTGTAGCCATAGACTTGGCAGCTGGTTTTGTGCTAATATTTTCTAGAAAAGCTGTATGGAGCTTTAATAAATAATGAGCACTGGTAGTGAAATACTGAGTGTACAACGCAAATTGTACTTTCAGAATCAACCGAGTGAGTTGCACGATTTGCATGAACTGGGCTCATTTGGTTATATAACTGTTCAGGGTACATGTTTAATGTTATTAAGGCACGATCACTTAAAATGATTATTCAACACTTGTATATATGAGAGCACATTAACTCCAGTTTTCATACAGTGTTTAATGCAAAGATACAATACAGAAAACACACAGATCTCCAAATAAAAAGTGCTCGTGTGTGGATTTTCTGCTTTTACTTTCACCGATCATTATGTTAGTCCTGGACCTGAGGAACACAAAGGGGAAATTTAAAGGGCTTCTATGTTTTAACCCTAGCAATCCGAGTGCAGAGGAGTTTGCACGACATTAACCTTTGCTTGATCTGAAATGTGCAAATTATATAGTCTATATAGTCTGAGCTTGAGAAACCATTATCTCCCTATACCTCAATGTAAATCATTAAAATTACATTAATTCTCCTCTAGTGGCTTAGTTTAGTGTATGTTTCTCTACAAAGAGGCCTGTAAATGTAAATTAATTATGCATATGTTTAAACAACTATATATATATATATATATATATATATATATATATATATATACTATGTATATGTAACATATTATATAAGTGCACATACAGTGTAATTAAATTTAAAAAAAAACCATAACCATATTACAGGACTTCTTGTTATTAATGTAGTAAATCCAGTTTAATACAATACATCTGTTGTGTTCCTGTACTGCTCTTTAAATCGAGTTTTACACCATTTTAATGTGATATATGCATGTGGCTTCTTTTGTTCTGTTGCAGGAGAATGTTTCCTCCATTTAAGGTTAGAGTGAGTGGTCTGGATAAAAAGGCCAAGTACATTTTATTAATGGATATCGTTGCAGCTGATGACTGTCGATATAAATTCCATAATTCGCGCTGGATGGTGGCTGGCAAGGCAGATCCAGAAATGCCGAAACGTATGTACATTCACCCTGATAGCCCAGCCACCGGGGAACAGTGGATGGCAAAACCTGTTGCATTTCACAAGCTAAAACTCACCAACAATATCTCAGACAAGCATGGCTTTGTGAGTATCAAGTGTGATCTAATAGCCTTATCGTATAGAGATAACCAACTGTAAAATGCTACAATGTATATCAATCGATTAACCCTTCTGGTGCCTGTGTCCTCTCACCCTCCCTCTTTTTAATCCCTAAATGCTTTTAAAAACTATAGTATGCAATCACATGATGATGCCCTATACACAAGTCTTAGCTGATATTGGGAGATAATTAAATTTACTACAGCGATTTGCAGCTCTGTAAAAGATTTTATACAGGAAATCTCTTTAAAACATTTTTTTTTTTAAAACATTAGTACACAATACAATTATCTCCTTACTCACAAACTATCAGAGCGAGGTGCAGTTTACAGTTATCTCCAGACTGGTGGTTACAATACCCCTATTCTACCTTCCCTATCAGTTTGATGTTATTATACAAATTAAACATTCTTTAAAAAACAAAAACAACAAAAAATGTGTTGTTTTTTTACACGCGCTGTAAAAATATATACACAATGTGTAACCTTGTTTAAGGTGGGAGAGAATTCAAAAATATATACATGTTGAAGCAAATGTTTATACACTCCCAAAATAAAATACTTATAAGAGTTCCTTCTCGTCCAAATATTAGGCTCCAGTTTGGTCGAAATTCCTTATGCATTGTTAGTATTATTTTTAGATCTGAATTTAATAGCTATGTGTTCTTGCCAGCATTGTGAAAATGTGTTGTGTTACATCAGGATACTGTGATAGATTTTCCTGCTAAGGACTGGATTCCAGTATGTTATTCTTCAATATGCATGCAATCATTGCATTGCACACATACATGGGTCTAGATTTTATTACGTTACAGGAGAATATTCAAGTTTAACTGCTTTGTGAATTTGGTGTGCCATTTCGCCTAAGCAGAAAGGGAAACGATGACGTGAAAATTAAATCTATATAATTATATATACACATATCATCTAAATCAAAATCTAATCTTATGGCTGACGTTTCAGAGTAGGTAAGATAAAATCGTACTAGGTAATTTTCTTAGTATAAAATCTGCCATAGATTTCCTTTAAATCTGTAAAATCTTAGGATTAAATAAAGCTGTGGAAATAAGGTCAGCTAGACTGGGCTGTGTGAATGGGGTTCAGTGTGGTGGGTAAGTAGTTGCAGTCTCCACGGATCGCTTAAGATGCAGACAGACAGGGAATGAAAAGTATAGGGGCCACTTAAAGTCAGCCCTTAAGTATTTTGCTATATATCCCTTAAGTGTAGTTTAGAGGTGGGGTTGGAATCTTGTTCAATAAACAAGTAGTCATGGCCACGCCACAGGTGTATACAAACCTTAACAGTCGAAACGTTGTTCTTTCTTCCTCAGGTAGAAGAGTTAAAAGCATTGTAGAAAAAAAACCTCTTAAATTATCTTCATTATGGGCATGGGTAAGAAAGCAAATCTGACCCCTTGATTTCATAGAAATGAAATCTCCCTATTCTTGCTAAATCCAAGGTTTTTTGGTGTCAATACAATATTTATTTAAGACTTCACTTGTCTGATTGTCCCTCCTTCCAGACAAATTAGAAGCTTCCTGTGTCTTACTGGAGTATATTTGTCTATCCACATTTAGCATAGTGTCCCTGCCTTTTGACAAGCAGTTAAGTAGATAAAAGAGAAAGTTGGGCAATTGCCTTTTTTGATATGGTAATTAACAGGATTTAAATACATACCCTGTGAATTTATGTAGCAATTAGTTCGACAGACAACAAGCAAAACGTCTATTTCCAATAATATATAGCTTAGCATTGGCCACTAGTGAGTTTTCGTCTTTTAACCTGCTAATTGTTGTTATCTTTGAAAATAAAAAAAATATACAGAATTAGATCAGTGATATGTTTCTTAATGAGAAACCCTAGCTCTCGAATTAACCCCTTCATGTTCTTTGGACCCACATTAATCAGACATAGAATAATATTTTTTTTTAATTAGTAGTTTAATATATTAAAAATATACTTATTAGTGTAACATCGAGGGAAAAATTCAAAACTGTAACCCGAAGGGTTTTATTACCAACATGAACTTGTTTTGAAACCATAAAAAATGGATCTGTATGTAGATTCTAGCTGTACTTGTAGTCTGATTGAACTGTGTATATCTTATGGAGCGACACAACTAAAATAAAATCTATTTCACAGCATACAGTAATATACTGCTTAAATTTCTTGTAAACGCACAGCCCAACATTTAGCTGTTTCTCCCAACCACCAGTAGACTATTAATTTCTGCGATTTGTATCAAACCTAAGAGTTGGTGGTAGGTTCACTAAACACTGACTTGGTAACTGAACACTTATCCTATGAACAAACTAGATGATTGGAGAATGAAATCTCCAGTTAGGCTGATATAAGGATATTTATACTAATCAGTATTTGTTTTTTAAGCTTGCATGTTATAAATCGATACGCAATCGTTATAACTCGCTGCTTAGTAAATATACCCCATGTCATAATTCTCAGATGGCAATCTTTTCACATTTTGCTTGAAATCCAAGTATCAGAGGTAATAGCATCAAAACTGGATTAGTTTCCCCTCCAAATCTATTCCAAACTGGCCTTGCTTTGCCCCGAATTAATTTTAATTCCAAACATGTCATAACAGCTGACAGATCTTTAAGAGTTTTCCAAGATATAGATCCTATACCAAACATACACATTCAGTTGGCAGAAGCTATGATTCAATGTTAAAACTATTATTTATACAGTGAGCTTTAAATTGAACACAAAACGTCTATAGGATTTAGAATATTTTAACCCAGCTCTTTTTTTTTTTGTTTTTTTTTGTTTCTGTATGCAGAAAAATCTATGTAATTAAAGCATCGGCTCTAGAATCAGCGCTTTGCCTCAGATCTGATATTCAGAGTTGTTGTCTATTAAATTGGATAGTATACGATTTAATCAATGCCCATCTGTACACCCTAAAATTTCCAGCCAGATGAATAGGCTCATACAGGAGGGATTTGCACGCTTGGATAGAATTGCTGTTACATTAATTTTTTTTATAATTTTTTTTTTTTGCTAATGTAGATTTCCAATGATATAACAGTAATCAGATCGATTCGTTTTATGACACTTTAAGCATATTTCTTTCACCCAGACTTTTTAATCTTTTATGAAACAAAGATAGCATTTCATTGAGTTATGCAATATCCTCTGACCACAAAAAGGGATTTTCCTCTGAATACATTATATTTACAAATATTGTAAGACAATGTAACTGAAATGAAACTGTATTTTTTTTTTTAGTATATTAAATTTGATAGTAAGTACATGCATAAAAGGTGTCAGATTGTGATATTATTCTGACTTATAATGTGCTCATGATTTCAGTTATGTTGAAATTGTCCATTATTAGATTAAATGGTTAAACTATTTTGTTAATAGTATTTTTTTGAATTTTTTATAATATTGCACTTTTAATTTATTAACCACGATATAAACTGACGGTATGTGCCAAATTAAGTAAGACTTGTTAATCAATATTAAGGTTTGTACTATAATTAATATATATATTTTTTCCTTTCTTTTTTCCAGACTATATTAAATTCCATGCACAAATATCAGCCTAGGTTCCATATAGTAAGAGCCAATGATATTCTGAAACTCCCCTATAGCACGTTCAGGACCTATGTATTTCCAGAAACTGATTTTATAGCAGTTACAGCCTATCAGAATGATAAGGTAAGATAAATCCTGCTTGCATTCTGTAATCAAAGCAAATAGTACCTGTTAGTCGATAATTATATACAAACATACCAGCTGTGTCAAAAATACCATATATATACATATCTAGGTATATTCCATGGGACTGTACAACCCAGAATCAGGTTTAAAATATTTTATTTCAGTCACGTGATGTTTCTTGGCTTACTGCACTGTTTATTCATGAGTTCTGCCTTTTTTTTATAATTAAAATAATTTTGATTAAAATTAGATTTTTTTTTTTTTTCTAAAGGTTGATTTGTAACACAACAGCGTCAGTGTGGTATTTTATAGATCTACATTGATGGTAAATTTAGAATTAATAATATATTGTGTGTATACGTTTTATGACGTGCAGTTAATTAAAATAAATGATTTGTGGTATGTTGGAAAGAATATTATTAGGCCAATTCATATGTTGTGGTTGGTATAGTGCAGGTGGCTTTTTTATTTTATTATTATTTTCCTAATTGTCATTCTGTTAAAAAAAAAAAATGCATTTAGGCCAGAGACCTGTGTTTTATTTTTTTTCCATTTTCATGTTAGACTGTGGACAGTATGTATAGTTAATTGACACTGGCTGTTTTTTTTTGGCTTTCTTTATGTCAATAAAGCTAGTATTCCATTAAGATAATCTTTATGTTCGATATGAGGCAGCCACACACATGTACATAGGGCTCTCTTCTGTCCAAGATACAGGACACACCTTCACCCCTTGCTGCTGATGTTAATTGACAGATCTGTCTGAGGGTCCGGGTGGGCTTGTTCCAATCGTAAACTTTATGGCACAGAGTCACGATCGATTAAAGAACACTTAGACTGCAGCCAAGCCACAACCTGTCCATAGACTGATAGGGCAGAGAAGCATCTTGCTTGAGATTGGGTTTCTCATTAAGATCTTTAAACTGGTGTCTGCATCAGATTAACCCGCTGACTGTCTGCAGGCCTTCTTACTAGGGGTTAACTCTGATTTTATTTAAGTCTCCCTACATTATTTCTGTTCTAAAATAATTTTTAATTGCTCATAGTTAGAAAAAAAAAATCTGATCTTTGCTCTGTTTTTTAAAAAATAAATAAAATAATAATCCCCACCTAACTCTATTTTTAATGTGGGAATTAAAATTGGAATATAAACAAAAATATTAAATATTTACCTTAGCAAATATGCTTTTTTTCTGCATTTCTCGCTATTTATAACGCTTTTACTCTGCATATGCAAGTCTGCGTTAGCAACTAACTTTTTTTTTGTATATTTCATTCAAATAAACATCATAGCATGAATTTAATATATGTGTGTAAAATATAATTTAATATTTATTTAATTTTGTTTATGTAGATTTCCTGCAATTTAAGATCAGAATATATTGTGTCTGTGCCATTAAAGAGGAAATGCCATATCCCCCCACAAATCTCAATTATTTAATGGATTTTTATTTTTTTTTATAATTTAAGCTTACGTTAAGGTTGCTTATTAGTGGAAATACCTTACAAACAAACAAAACGAAAAATCAATTTGTTTGTGAAAATATACCATAAAGAAATTCAGACATGCATTTTTAAAGATGGCATCTATAAGGGGACATATTTCAAAAGTATGAATTATTAATTGACCTAATGTGGCCTTGCACCATAAGTCAGTCTTATGTGAGTGGTAAGAATAGCTTCTAACCAACACAGCAATGCTTAGTCGCCATGTTTCCTCCAGGGGGCTCTGAAAAATAACTTGCTATCATTAAAACTCTATTAATAATTCAAGCAAAACCTCAGCATCATTTTTAATAAAGAATGTGGTGTGTTAAACCAGGAAGGCTGTGTGTTCTAAACTGTTTGAAATGAGAACTTGCCTTTAGGAATGGCTCAACCCCTCTCACTGTGTGAACCAGAAAGGGGGGTACGGGGGGAGGATTAAAGAATCGAATACATTTATTTACAAATAAAACAAAAAACAAATATGTTTGGAATGTCAAGTGTATGATTAACCCTTTCATTGACACGTGAAAACAAACAGCCTCACTAAGCCAGACTTTGCTGTAAGAATAATCATGTTGTATGTACAACGTATTGTAGCATAGCATGCTCACTGTCCAAACCAGTGTGTGTTTAACCCGTGTTGCTCCTGGACACGTTTAACCCTTTCTTTACCCTAGCGACACCAAGACAATGTTGAAGTATATTTGTGGCCATCTGCTTGCCATTAGTTTTGTTAATTTATGTTTATGGTTTGTATCTTTTTCAGATCACACAACTTAAAATTGATAATAATCCTTTTGCTAAAGGATTTAGAGACACGGGTAATGGAAGACGAGAGAAAAGGTAATTACAAAAATAATTAAATTCTTCCCTATTAAAAAAGTTCCATCTATATTTCTGTATTTTTATTTTTTTATTTTGTACATTTGTATGATTATTGATTATTTATTTAAATTTTTTTAAATTTGTCAATGCCAATAAAATGCTAGACATATAATATTAAATTGTAAAGAGTGACATTATAGTGAGTCCATATGTACTGTTGAGCTTACTGTTGAGCTCTGCAGGCAGTGTTTAACTATATCTTCTCCTGTTTATTTCTCCATTAAGGAAACAACTGACGCTTCCATCCCTGCGGATGTACGAAGATCAGTGCAAGGCAGACAGGGATGGAGCAGAGTCTGATGCCTCTTCTTGTGATCCTGCCCCAGGCAGGGACCCTCTGCACTCCCCCCTGAGTACCGAGCCCAGCCCCCTGAGACTCAGCCGCAACAACAGAGGTAAAGACCCTTCACCCACAACATATGGCGCTGCTATCTCAGACAGCAGGCCGCACTGTCCACTGCTTCCTATGTTATTTATTAATGCTACTGTTCTAATGTACGATTGGTTTGATTCTTAGTATTTCTGGCTGAGTCTACTGTTTCTTATAATTCTGAAATACACTATGTATCTATCTAATTCTAGTCTGTCTATCTCTACAGTATTGTTACAATATAGCTGAACTAATTCTCCAAATTAGATTTTTTTTTTTTCTGGTTCTGCTAATTGAGTCTACATTTTCCAACTGTTAATTTACAGGTGGATATTTTTAACGAATCTAAATAAATAAATAAACCTAGTAGTGTATATTTCATTCCTGCTGGTACAGGGCTATTATGTGTACACATTATATTAGATTTTATTGTTCTATGAAGATGAGACAGGTGGTGGTTGTGAATAGCAGTGGTTATAGTAACCGGTACATGTTTATGGTGTATCTTGGACCTAGATCTCACATAGTTTTTAAATGGCAGTGTGTACTTATAATAGTGAATATTTTTTGTATGTGTGTAACATGATGTTGTGGGTATCCCATAAGGAATACATTTCCTACTTACTGCAATCTAGTGCATGAATGCCAGGGAATTAAGTACACATTAGAATCCGGTACAAATCAGAAGGCTGGTTTGGGATCAGATATTAAATCAGGGGCTTGGTTACAAGGGGTTTCTTTGGAGCCAGTGTCGATCAGACTAATACACATTGCTGTTGTGCATTATGGCAATCTGTTTGAAACTATTTTATCATCTCTTGTCACTGCAGAGTTCCCTGTTACTTAATACCCCAGATTGCTCTTAGATTTTGATCACTAGTGATTATGATCTGTCTGTTTCACTGCTATACCACTAAACACCATAGACTCTGAGCTGTCACGCCACGGGGACTATTTACTAAACAGTGACTTGTGGCAAGTGTATATTCGATTTGGGAGTGAAGAGTAAAATAATTACTGTGCAACAGCCCAGCTCGATGTTTAACCCTTTAAGGACAATGGGCCGGGAAAATACTGTGATATCCTAACAATCCTGACATGCCATCGGTCATAAAAGGGTTAATAAATACACCCCTCTGTTATGTGAGCATGTCCTGGGAGTGGGATACAAATAATTCTCCCAAATCATTTTTTCTTTTATTTGTTTTCTGATGTGCAGGGGATTAATTACATTTCACAACTACGGTTTCCTGTATTTCCATATATTTCCTATGGGTTAATAAACGTCCATTAGATGCAATAACATAAAGATTTAAATAAGAAGAAATGTCTTATTAAATGTTCCATTTTCTTGTGTTGTGTTAGGTGTGGACACATGTAAATATTTTTTATTCTGCTGTGCATTTGCCTTTTTCTGGGCAGAGGAGCAGTGAGACTGAAAGGGTTAACAGTGTGTAAGATAGATTGGGGGTACAGATCAGCTACAATGATTAGAGATAGTTTTAAAATGTATAGAGGAATACTCGATGAGCATGTTACTTTATCGTCAAATATATTGTATACTCTATAACAGGCATAGGCAACCTTCGGCACTCCAGATGTTTTGGACTTAACCTCCCATGAGGCCTTGCCAGCATTATGGGTGTAAGAGCATTAAGGGGGATGTAGTCCAAAACATCTGGAGTGCCTGCTCTATAATGTAATACTGTAAATAATACATACAGACTGGTTATGGTTTGATCTGTAAACTGTACTCGGTCTGGGCTTACTACACTTTCTATATCCCTATTCCAGAAGACAAATTCGGAGTGGACAGTGACCAGGAATTAGACAGACGGGAAGTAAGGAGTGCGAGAGGTCACAGCCCTGGGGGAGTCCATTCTAGCCCCAGCAGCCCCAAGCTGGAGGAGAGGAGCAAAGAGAAGACCCCCTCAGAGAAGAAGACAGAGTCTCCAGACACCCGCAAGGACAGTGACAGTATCTTCAGTGTCAGGAATCTAGAGAAGGACAGACTGGAGAGCAGGCGGAAAGAGGAATCTAAAAACGATCCAGAATGTGGAAGTTTAAGTAAAGAGACCTTTGCTCCACTCATGGTACAGACTGAAAGCCCACCACACCTGAGTGCCAGTCACCTGCAGAGCTTGGCTTTGTCTGGCCTGCACAGCCAACAGTTTTTTAACCCCTTGAATGCTGGACAGCCGCTCTTTATCCATCCAGGACAATTTACAATGGCCCCAGGGGCTTTCTCTGCTATGGGCATGGGACATTTATTGGCCTCAATGACAGGAGCAAGCGGACTGGAGAATGGAGCTCTCTCTGCTGTACAGGGGGCCGCAGGAGCAGCTACCCCTTTCCCATTCCACCTGTCTCAGCACATGCTGGCCTCTCAGGTAAGCAGTATGTCTGTTTGTATGTCTCCACTGGAGATCTGAATGAGGATCCCACCATTGCTTTGCAGTAATCCATAGGAGAGAATCTGAGATCTATTGCATCACAGTGTATATAGAAGTAGAAATCTGCATGTCTGAATGCATGTAAGCACTGGCACATGTATAGCAGTCACTAATGGGTATCCATACATATGTATCCATCGGAGATCTAGCTTTCAAAAACTTATCTGCTTGTTCAGCTTGGAGCCCACCATTGCTGTGCTGTAATGTAAAGCAGAGAAGCAGAGATACCTTGTATCAAAGAGACTGAAATGTACGTGTATGTATCCACTGGGGATCTGGGCTAATAGGGCTTTCCCCCTTTCTGGAGCTTTGAGCCCACCATTGCTTTGCAGTAATCTGAAGCAGTGAAGCAGATAATACATTGTACCACAGTGACTGATGTGAAAGTCATTTGACATCTTTACCCGTTTAAAATAAGGATAGGACTCAGTTTAAGTCTTTGGCAAACAGGCGTTTTGTAACCTTTTGATTTTCCAGCTGAACGAACTTGATACAGAGTTTTCAGATATCTCTGGGCATTTTCTCTGTCTTTTTAGAATGGACCTGGGGATCATATTGATGTAAGATACAATTTCTCCTCAACTCCGAGCGAGCTGTTCAGACGGCTCTGCTAATTCCAGCTCCAGAGAGACAGGCAAATCTCTGATACTGGATACTGAGATAATATTATCATCTGTTAACCACTGCTGTGCGAGAAACTACTAAACTATTCAGAAATATATATACAGTACTTATTATTATTTTTTTTTTAAATCTTAAGTCCTGGAGGATAATATTAATTAACCTTAAGACAGTAACGTTTGGGATAGCTGGTGTGTGTTCTATTGGTAATTTAATTTTACATTGAAACAATAGAATGAATATTAGTTTCTATATCTGATGGCCTTAGTTACTTGCTAGTGCTGTCCCTTTAAATGAGCATGATGTCCAATTTAACTTGGTGACTATGCAGGAAGTGTTCTGCTGTGTTTAATGCTTAGATTGTGTATTCACATTTCTGTTAAAAAAAAAAAAAATGGGTAGTATTGTAAAGATAGGTAGTATAATATAGAAGGGTAGTATATATATGGGTTTTATTATATGGAAGGGTAGTATTATACAGATGAGTATTATTATATAGAAGGGTAGTATTGTGTGTAGATGGGTAGTATTGTACAGATGGGTAATATTATTTAGATAGGTAGTATTATATAGATGGGTAGTATTGTACAGACTGGTAATATTATTTAGATGGGTAACATTAAATAGAAGGGTAGTATTGTGTGTGTGTGTGTGTGTGTGTATATGGGTAATATTATTTAGATTGTATAGATAGGTAGTATTATAGCTAATGTGATATTAGAGCCACCATGTAATAATTCAGTGCTCTGGCTCCATGTCTGCGATTTTGCAGCTCTAGTTATGAGTATTAAAATAACACTGGTAATGTTGTGTGTTTGTAGCTCAGTGTGTTTACACAGTGCCCACTTGGTATCATTATTTCTGGAATTGTTGTGTATTTTGTGGATGCAATCTCCATGCCAGGATGTCAGAAATTGAAGTATTGTTTTGTTTTTGTGCTCTAGGGGATCCCGATGCCTGCATTTGGAGGGCTATTCCCTTACCCCTACACCTACATGGCGGCAGCAGCTGCAGCAGCTTCTGCGATGCCAGCCACCAGCGCTGCCACCACTATGCCAAGGAACCCCTTCCTCACCTCCACCAGGCCTCGCCTCCGCTTCAGCCCTTACCAGCTCCCTGTTACCATCCCTCCCAGCACTAACCTCCTGACCACTGGATTGCCAGCCAACCTGAATCCGGGTTCAGAAAGCTCCAAGCCTGGCAGCAGCCGGGAGTCCAGTCCCATCCCAGACACTCCTGTCCACAAGAGGTCTCACTCAAGTTCTCACTCCCCCAAGACCTCCATGAAGGATTCCATCAATGAGCTGCAGAACATCCAGAGACTGGTCAGTGGGCTGGAAAGCCAGAGAGAGGTCTCACCTGGCAGGGAGACACCGAAGTGACCTGCAGCCTACGTCACTCACCAGAGCCACAAAGGCTCAAAAGCACTGGGATTTTGTACAGCACAGCATAACTATTTATTGAAAAGAAAAGAGGGGAAGCGACAAAAAAAAACAACAAAAAAAGAAAGATTACTGATTATAACCTAACCACACACTGAAAACCCACCAAATATCCAATTATGTCACTAATGAAGGTCAAGTGGAAAATGTATGTGTGAGATATATTCTATATCTCTATCTCTCGCATCAGAGGGCACATCTTCATAAATGGACAGTGGACAATGTTTATGGGGCATCAATGACTCATTGTAATGGTGCTATTGTGAAGGAGCTCCCCTGTAATATAAGGAATTGCTCAAGAATGCAGAGACTGAATGAAATAGATGATGGACAAGTCTAGAGAAGAAAATTCCTTGGATTTCTTCTTAAAAAGGGGTGGGGGTGTATGGAAGTGTTTCCTTAAAGCTGACTATTGGAAGCACTAGCCAGTTATGAAAATATGCCTAATCTGATTGATTGTGACTGAAAAAAGAAAAAAAAAAAAAAGAAAATAAGCATAATAACATATAATATTTGCATTGGAAAAAAAAAAGTGCTATTTTAAGCTGAACTCAGATACTGCATCTTTCACCAAATCAGAAAAACAAACTGGCATAGTGGCAGTAACCTACCTACTTGTATGCCAGAAATATTTATGAAAAGTAGTAATTTGTGTAAATAATCTATAAGGATCCCAAAATATGCAAATTGGTATTAATTTATTCAGAGTTGTACATGGTGTGTACATAATATTTAGAGAATAATTCATTTCATTTAATTTTCATTTTTCCCCATTTTACATGAAACATATATATTGTAAATTAAAACATATTTAGCTCATTGTGATTGAAGGAGATTCAGTATGGTTTCTTTAACTGTGTTTTTATTTTTTATGTTATTTTATTGTATTTTATTTTTCTCCGCCTGTTGTTTAGGACAATCATGTGCCATCCTTGCATTCAGTAAAAGTTTGTTTTTAAAAGTTTTAATATATCCCTGAAGTCATTTGCTGAGTGGGGTATTAATGCAGGAATAAACCTCAGGATTTTGTTTCACTCCAGTTCAATTAAAAAAAAGAAAGAATTATCACAAACTGTGCTATATTTGTTTAATAATACATGATTTGAAATGTCTGGTTACTCGGGTATCTTATCTGTTCATTTTTTTTTTTTGAAAATTCTCACATCTTTCAATAAAAAATATTAAAATATTAACGGTTTCATTTCCTTATTTTAAGTGTCATATTTTTGTGAACATAAAATGTTAACATGAAAATTTTACTACGAATATTTTTAAAAAGAATTTCTATTTAAAAAATGCTTTTCTTTTCTGAAATATATCTTTTTTATTTTATTTATTTTTTTAGGTATTTTATATAGTGTATTACGTATTTGGTTTGGTGTCCTAATTTAAGGAATATTTTTTTTATTACGTTTTAATATAGATAAATAAACATCGAATTTACAAGCAGATCTAAATTATTATTCTTCCACATTTTTAAGAAGATATTTTATGAAAAAAATATCAACTAAATTAACAATATTAAAAATGAATTTAACTTTTGCAATACAATAGTTTTCTTTGAGAGTATTTGATATACAAGTTATTGATTTTTTTTTTCACTGTAACAGTTTTGTATAGCTTTGAAAGCTTAATTTACTATGTGGTGAAAAACATATTTAAAACCTTTTATATTGAGTTAGATTAGTTATTATTTGCACATGTGTATACCCCCAGTTAATTTATGGGAATTTATGTCTGTAGACACTGAAAATATAATATTTATATATAGTAAATTGTATACTCTACTTTGCATGAAAAATATTGATAAAATTTAAATTCTAACAGAATAAAACTAAACTGCGCGTATTTATCAAACAATGAATCTGGGTGATTTGTAAAATTTAGACTACATTTTTAGAGTTTTAAACAACACCTCTCTTTTGGATAAATCTACTATTTTCGCCTAAACTTGGAAATCTGTTCGATGGCCGCTTTAACGAACTCACTGTTTAGTCAATAATCCTCAGCTAATTAAGTTTAATTCCTAGTTATATAGTGCTTGATGTTTCTGACTGAGTTATGTCCAGTTTAATGTATGTTAGTTATTATTTTCAATTAAGGTAGATGTTGGTAATCTGTTCTAAATCGCTGGTGTCTGCGTTTAATTTCGATCAGGAAAGATTAAAACGCTTCCATGCATATAAACATCCGTTTTATATTATTGGTATGTAAACGAGACCAACACTTTTATATGGAGAGACAGTTGATTTGGTTTCCACTCCACTAAAGTACTTCCAAAGATTTCATACCCGATTATTTTTAGAAAGAATCAACAGTTTCAGACAAAAACTAACCGTAAGTAAGCAGGATATGTTTTTGGCACAAACCAGCACACGTGTAATTTCCAATCTTTCCTCTATTTTGGAGAATAGAGAGGAAACACATGATTTGTTTTGAGAACCAAAAAAAAAAAAAAAAAAAATCATCTTGCATATGAAAACGGAACTCGATTGGAGTTATTTCTCTGTTCAAATGAAACTCGTCTATGCTTTGTCCATTGAGGATCCTGACGATTAAGTCCTTCCAAAGAATGATTTGGTTCGAATTGACAGACTAGTCGTAGAAGGCACAAGGTCAAAAAAAGCTGAGATTTGGGAAAACCAAACGCAAATTATATGATTAATTTATCAATCTCTACTCTTCTGGCCTTACGTTTATAGTGTTCAACTTTTCACAACTAACTGAATAACCTATAATTCTAATATCTGTTATATCAATGAAAAACACACACACACACACACACACACACACACACACACACACACACACACACACACACACACACACACACACACACACACACACACACACACACACACACACACACACACACACACACACACACACACACACACACACACACACACACACACACACTCTCTCTCTCTCTCTCTCTCTCTCTCTCTCTCTCTCTCTCTCTCTCTCTCTCTCTCTCTCTCTCTCTCTCATAAAATTAAATGAAAAATATCACACACACTCTCACTCTCTTACTCTCTATCTCTTTCTCATTCAAGGCTTTACTATTTTGTGGCCATTTTTGTTTTTATCAACAAATGATATTGAACATGATGGTGTACCAGAAACCAGGATTGCATTGTTAAAAAGAAAACCATCCATCAGCTTTTGAGAGAACGTCACGACTCCGACGAGAATATTGGTTAAAGGAAACGAATAGTTAAGTAAAATATCTAAGTTTTAAATAGTTGATGGGATAAGAAGGGGAGAGAAGGGTTTGCACACTTTGTGGTAATGTTACCTTAGTTTAAGTAAATTTGCCTCCTTGCTACAGCCATCCATTGAATAGATCTCATTACAATGCACTCTAAGGTTTCCATATTTATTGCAAGAGTCCCTAACCAGAGTCGTTTTACAGACAGCGCTCTAATCAGCAGGCTTAGGCAACAAAACAATTTCAAGTGATCCATTTTCTTAAAACTTCAATCTCCAGAGAATAGGAGTTCCCTTTTTTCTTCTTTAAGTAGAACTTCACGGCTTTATGGTAAAGCAATAAATGATGACATAAACAACCTCTTTCCTCACCAATTAGCTTTTTCTCATTCTAGGGAGATTTATTAGCCAAAGAGAAACAACGAGGCACAAAAAGCAAAGGAGATTGCAAGAAAAATAAGGTTCGAGCGCCCCCTGCTGGCCATTGAAATACATAAACACTGTTTGAAAACGTAGTTTTATTTAATCAATCTTTCTTTCTTACTTCATATAATACACATTTTCCATACTAATAGCATATCAAATTGTTCTGTGGAGTGATCATTGTTATTATTGCATTATTATTTTACATTTATATATATATATATATATACAGCACTATGTAATAGATACATGATATATGTTAACAAATAATAAGCAAACATGAATAGAGGTGATGATGGCCTTGCTCAAAAGGGCATTGGCAGAGAAAAGTTTAAATTGCCTTCAGATTAGAATATGAGTAATTTCATCGAGGGAGGCATTGCACAGCAATGGTCTAGCAATTGATATCAATTGTGCACATCTTACACTGCTTCATAGAAAACTCTTTATCTAAGACAATGGTTCCCAACCCAGTCCTCAAGTACATACATTTAGGTATCATCCAGTTCTGTCTAAGGTTTTTGTAGGGAAAAAACATTTTAGACACAACAGGGTAATCCCTATATCCTGGACTTGGATGGGGTACTTGAGGACTGGGTTGAGAAGCCTTGCTCTAAGGGGTGTATTGACCAAACGTGACACACGATAAGTTGCTAGTCAGATAATATGCTTTTTCTGCATATCAGAAACCCACTTGCTCTTGCCTCTGACACAAGCTGACAAAGTGTAGGTCCAAGTGCAGGCACTCTGTTTGCTCTCCCCAAACTGTTGGCCTGCAAACGAATAGTATCGAAATTAAAACTGCAAAGGTGTCATAGATGCACACATTTAATAAAGAACTGATGAAATAGTAGTAGTAGTAATAATAATAATACACAATAATATCTTCTAAGATAGAATGTCTCCTAAAATGCTGTGAAAACTAAGGAGAATATTTAATTAAAGGATCATTGCAAGGATCATAACCAGTACAGCATGTTGGTGTCCTGGCGCCTCCCTCTCTGTAAATATTCAAGCTGTTTTAGAATGGTTTGATTACATAACTGAGATCCACCAGGCTTTAGTAGCTATGGTACTTGGAGTGTTTCTTTGAATAATCCCCTAAAGACATATGAGTAAAAAAACAACAACATTTAAATAAACCAAAACAAAAAAATCGAAATAAGTAAATGAGCTAAACAAGAGAATTCCCGGTCTCCTTTCTGTCCACACCATGCATCACAGATATGGGGCAGTGAAAAAAAAAAAGAGTATCATGGCTCATCTATCATTCTCTGATATGGACTTGGAGCACACATTTATTTATTTATAAAATATTTTAGATATATTTATCTCGTTTTCAAGTATGTCTTAGGTCCACAAAACATTGCCTTGTTAAAATAGGATACAATATTACAAAAAATGCAATATACTAACTATATATATATATATATATATATATATATATATATATACACACATATATAAATTTAACACATAACAGGTAATGAATATATTCAACCATGACAGGTTCATTCTGTATTGAGGTATATTGCCATAGATCTCAGATTGAATGAAGATTTGACTGTGTCCCTGAGGTTATTCCATAATTGCGGGGTCTTGTAGGAAAACGATGACACGTGATGCCTGCCTACATTTTTGGGGCCCTTAACTCCCACCTCACATCTGGAAAGTTATTACAGAGGTACACTGCCACTGCCAGTTCAGCACACACTTTAATTTAGTAAAAAAAAAAAAAAAAGATGCGTTATGTACTTAGAACATAACTCTTAATAGGCTTATGGCCCTGTAAACTGAAATTGGCTAACTGTAACTCAGTCTACAACAGTAATAATTATTATTATTATTTCTATAGCGCCAACATATTCCGCAGCATTGTACAATTGGTGGACTAACAGACACATAATTGTAACCAGACGAGTTGGACGCAAAGGAACAGAGGGGTTAAGGGCCCTGCTCAATGTCTTTTTATGCTTTATTAATAATGACTATTGAGTATTGACTGATTAAAAGCAAATTACTGCATCTGAGTTTTGTCAATAGACTACAAACGTTAGTTGCCAATGCCATGCTTAATAAATGCACTCCCAAAACATATTTTAAACAAAATGATATCCAAATGTATTATTGTAGGTAGTGATCCCCACATTAAATAAAATAATAATATAAGCCAAAACGCAAGTAACACCAACACCAACAAGAGCTATAATAACAGCAACAACAGACATAATGTCTTATTCTTATTAAACAAGGACTTAATGTATCAAAGATTTTTAACAGTCTGAGATTGAATAACCAATATGCCCTAAATTATTTTGTAAGATAATTGTTTACCCACTGAACATGGACACTGGAGGCTGGATTGTGGCCAGTTCATTAATTCTCACAGTCATCTGAGAGTAGACAGCTCACTGTATAGATTGCAGAGCGTTCTCATCCCTCACCTTCCATTACGCGTACAATATCTGCAGACGCTTTGCTGTGTGTACACCCAACATTCAGACAAATCCTTAGGCTCCAATGTTCGAAGGACTTTTTTCTCTAGAAATTCTGTTC